GGTATGGTACCTCCTACAGATCTAGTCCCCCACTGCTTCAAGGAACCTTTGGGAGAGGGTGGATGCAGACTCCCAAAGTGATCTCACTCCTCAAACTAGAGTCTTTGGATGCTATTATGAGGAGGACCTTGATTCCAAGGATGGGGTATCGCGAGGGCTTGACTCGCATACAACTATGGCTTCTGAACTCTCTAATGCAGCAGACTGTGTTTGACATTTAGGATCTTCTTCTATTAGAGATGGATGATACTATTGCTGAGGTGTTCAGAGGTCACCGTCAGTTGCCCTATGCCCATTGGATCACATTTCTTATTCATAGGGCGATTATAGTGAAGGCACTGAGATGCTAGCTTAAATGCTGGTGGTGCTACTACGAGTTCCCTCATATACAAACCGACTTCGAGATGATCCGCCAGTACACCGAATGCACCTAGCCAACGTTTTTCCGTCGTCATCCAGAGAGGTGCAGAGACTGCACCCCAAACAGATGATGATACTATATAGGGGCACCATGACTATTGAGAAAAGCGATTAGATGCTCAACAGAGAGGGATGGTCGAGAGCGACCCGGTGGCAGCTTCAGATGAGGACTACCGGGACATTCCTTAGATCACTGCGTTTAACGTCGACATGACCATGAGGCCGTTATAGCTCGATTCAGCTCCACTGCATGCATGCAGACCCGCTCTACTTGCCATACTTGAGCGGATGATGATGGATTAGAGTTCGCCGAGCTCAGGAGAGCGCCACCACTTTTGCATAGTTCCACTTTTCGGCGGGGCGAGTTCGGCGTCCAATATTGGCTATCAAACGAGAAGCATATAGTGTACAAGCTGAAGACAATTTGAAGCCATGCACCGGCGGCGGCTCCTAATGTAGCAAATAGCTACTTGGGTTTATCAAGACATGTTGTGGCAGCTATTGGGGCTCCACCACCATAGCCTTTGCCCTGACTTGGTGGGTTTTGACAGCCACCACTTCTATGACTCGGCATTACTAGCCTAGTGGGCGAGAGTCGAGGACGACCATCAAAGCAGCGATTTGCTTCACCTACAGAGCAGGTGTCCCAGTGGTTTGCTTCACCAGTGCTAGCCCTACAGTTCACACCTCTTCAGACGGGCTTCACACTGGCTCAGACTTCCTCGCTGCTTGTGCTAGAGACTACAGTGCCCAGGAGCCTTGGTGCTTCCTTCAGTAAGTTGACATGGCAGCCCACTCCTCCATATCTACATGTCCTAGGTCCTTCTACAGTTGCACCTATTACCGAGGACTACAAAGACACTCCCTTCCTCAGTGGCATCATCAAACCCGGTTACATAGTCATACCAGCACAGCCTATAGCAGCTCTAGTCCCTGATCCGACCCAGACTACTTCAGCATCGCTTCTAGCTACAGAGGGTCATACAACTCATAGCTCAGGGTCAGATGATGATGGCACTCAGTTCCAGCCCCACCGACCGACCCTTAGGTTTTGGTGTTTGACGCCAAAGGGGAAGAGGGTTCGAGTATGTTAGCCTTAGGGGGAGCGACATATCTAGGGGAGCTTAGTTTATCTATTAGTTTATCTATTATATTTGGAGTTTTTATGTGTGATACACTATTATGCATTCGTCGTGTGTTTACTTTTTATGCATCAAACTATATTTATGTGATAGTGATATCTACGTGATTATAATATATGACATGTGTGCTCTCTACTTTGAATTATTTATATGTCATATCACTTGTGCTATGCTCATTTGCTTTTACGTCCGCGTTTTACTCCGATGCAAATGAGCTTTATTACTTGTACTCATGCTTATTTCATATCTTTTGAGTACATCATGTTGGCTTGGGTCATATAAGCTTGCCTAACACTTTTATTCTTATTGCCAAAAGCTTATATAAACCAAGCATGTTAAAAACCTCATCTCTTTCACATACTCGAGGTGGTATTGTCATCAATCACCAAAAAGGGAAAGATTGAAAGCATCTAGGCCCCTAGTTGGGTTTCGATGATTAATGACAATACGTGATTACTGTGACTAACATGTGTTTTGTAGTGGCAATTAAGTTAGGTCACGGTAATGGAGATCGATTGGGCAATCATGGTGGTCATGCCCCTATGATGGAAATCGTTTCGGTTTTTAAAGGATGGATGACAAGGTTAAGGATGGACTAGTTCTAAGTGTCGTTTGGTGTTGAAGAGACACTTAGAATAGTTTAGGACTTTATTTTTTCTTTGGCCGTACTATTAAGGGGGTATGGACGGGTAGCTTGACCTAGGTGAGTCTAGTGGGTTAGGTGTGGTGTACACTTGCTAAAACTAGCACTAGGTAGCTCCAAATTAGCCCTTAGATCCAATGGAGCAAACTTCATTCACGTATGATCGAGGGTTGAAAGTGAATGGAGGGTCAAATACTGACCGGACGTTGGCTCCGGTGTGACCGGATGCTGGCTCAGAGTCTGATCAGTTCATTTAACAAAAGTGAAATCGTCTTGGCGCTGCGACGCCGAGAGGTGTAGTGATATTGGACTGGCTGGACGCCGAGGGCTATTTGAGACCGACTCAATAAGGTTACTGAGAGAGGAAAATCATGACCGGACGATGCGTCGTGGAAAAGGATCGAGGTCGATCGGACACTGTCTAGGGTCCGGTCACACTTTAAACACTAGAGTTCGGGGTGAACTGACCGGAGCGTCCGGTCAATATGACCGGAGCGTCCGGTCACCCCGCAGAAACATATAACGGTTGTTTTTTCAGCCGATGTTATAAATACCACATCCATCCATGTGTGGAGGTACTTTTGCTCATTCCAACAGCTGAGAAACACCTTTGAGAGTGCCAAGAAAAGTAAGGTCCTAGTGAGGTGATTGAGATTTGAGAATCCCAAAGAGAGCCCTCATTAGTGAGATCAAAAGTAGCAAAGTGTGCATCCACCCTTCTCATTAGGCTTGGCGTGGTCAAGTGAGAGTCCGTGCTTGTTACTCTTGGTGATCGCCATCACCTAGACGGTTAGGTGGTGATTGGAAGCTTGGTGATCATTCGGAGAGCTTGTGGATGACCCAATTTAAGTTGTGAGCGGTAAACGGTAAACGGTCTTTACACGGTCGTCCTTCATTTAACGTTTAGGCTGTTTACACGGTGTTTAAACGAAATTAAACGGTCTAAATGGTTTTGTACTTTAAAAAAAATACATATAATTATATATGTGCATGTAAAAAATTAAGTATTCTAGTATTTATTCATATTTATCCGAGTAAAAATCAATTATTTTAGTATGTATATATATTTATGTATGTGAAAAGAACCAAATATAGATATTTATGCAGGTAACATATCAAGTGTACACATTTATAAATATAATAAACTTAAGTATACAAATTTATCCATACAAAATTGAACTAGATTTACCTCGTGTTCGCCTAAACGGCCGTTTAAACAGTTGTTTAGCCCGTTTAATGCTGTTTATCTCCGTTCCGTTTAGGCCGTTTTTCCCGTTTTTTTCCCGTTTAAACGGTCAACCGTTTAATTTTCGTTTACCCCCTAAACAAAACAGTTTACCACCGTTTACCATTTACTGGTCATTTAAACGGCCGTTTAATCCGTTTAGGCGAATACTGGGTCTATATAGTAGAGTTTGTGAGCCTACGGTGTCGTGCTCTTAGTGACTGTTAATTTCACAAACTTTGCTTTTTGAATTAAATGTCAGTTTAATGTCTTATAATATTGTTATCTTATCGTGCGATCTATATATTTTTAATATAAAAATTTAGTTATCCCGTAGCAACGCACGCTAGCAGAAAGAATGAAGTGTGAACCAAAACTGCTTGGCCTCACTCCCAACGTATCGGACAAGCGATGCCTCTGTTTCAGTGGAGGAGGACTGCATCACTTTATTTTTCTGACCAGTTTTCCTGTTATCCAATATAATTTCACTAGGATATAAACAAGCAGCTTAGACACAGATTTTAAGCGTAGAAACAAATCTAGTCTGAATTTTTTTATTTTTATTTTGTACTCCCTCCGTCCCAGAATATCTGTCGTTCTCGCTTCCCGAGAAACAACTTTAACAAAATATATATTAAAAAATATTATTATTTATGGTATATAATTAATATCATCGGAAAGATTTTTGAATCTAGTTTTTTTAATAAATTTATTTGGAGATACAAATGTTCTTTAGTATTTTACGAACAAACAGCGTCAAGAAATCTCGAACCTACATTGTGGAATTGCATGGCGAAAAAACGACATTTAAAGCTTGGGACGGAGGAGTAAGTGTTCAGATCTACTGCCAAGTGCACCCATCGATTTCATGAACGTTGCACCAACCAAACGCGTTGGCCACGTTTAGTTCCTAAGATAGGTTTGTCTAGCCTATGTGGAGCGAGTCTTGCTTTGCCAGCCGACGCGAGCTGAAATCCTCTCTACTAAAAGCAACACGTCTGGTTCTTTTGCTGGCTTTGCTCATCTTGTCTCGCTCAGCCAGGCAAGCTTTGTCAGCATGGGTAAGCCAATTTGGCTCTACTCCACGAGTAAGCAAAATCTTGCCAGCACAAACCAAGGTAAACCATGAAACCACACACCAGTTCTATCTTGATTTCTGTGCGAGCAAGGCAAGGCAAGGCAAACTCTATCCAGAGAACCGAACGTACCCAGAATTGCTTGCTTGCATTGCTGGGCAAGGTGAGGCTAGCGCTAGCTAGTGCCATATTCCTAGCTCGACTGCGCGAGCATCGTCCGAGTGCGAAAACCCACGGTCATCGTCCAAATGGCAAAAAACATCGTCGGCCCCGTCTTCGCCCCCTCCCCTCGTCCGCGCGTCCCCTTTCCACGGCCGCATCCTCCACCTCCCTTCACTGACAGCGACGCCGCCGCACAGGAACTCAGGAACCCCTCTCGCATCTCCCCTCGCTTCCCCGCGACAGCGACGGCCGGTCGCTTCAAGTGACCTAAGCACCTGCGCGCCCCCTCCCTTCTCCTTTTCTTCCCCCGGCCCCCGTCCCTCTCCGTCCCTATGACCTCTTCCGCCCCTCCGAACCCTAGCCCCATCCCCGTCCCCGTCCCCGTCCCCACTCCGATCCCCACCGCGAACGGGACCGCCTCATCACCCAAGGATCAGCCGCCGCCGCCGCAGCAGCAGGGGGGCGGCCAGGAGGAGGCAGCGGCGGCGGATGGGGGAGGCGCCGAGGCTGCGGAGGCGGGAGTAGCAGCCGGTGTTGCGGCCGAGGCTATGGAAGTGGATGGGGGCTCTGGCGCGGGGGATGCGGAGGTGGGCGTCTCGGTGGGAGGAGGAGGAGGAGGCGCTGGGGCGGGTGGAGGAGCGCAGCAGGCCTCGCCGGCTACCGTGTTCCGGATTCGGCTCAAGCAGTCGCCCGCGAGCCTCCGGCACAAGATGCGCGTGCCCGAGCTCTGCAGAAACTTCAGGTGCGCGTGGCTGAGCATCCCTGCGCTTCCGTCTCCATTTCCTTTGTTTATGCCAAAATCAAGTGTTTGTTTTGAACTCAGCTCCTTTTGGGATCAGTGCTGGATGTCAATTATGTTAAGATTTTGGCGACGGGTGCATGGAATAGTGGAATCACCGACTTCTGAGTCATTATGAAGAGAGTGTGTATGCGGTTGCGATTGCATTATTTGTCCTTTATCTAGAACGTTGTAAAACTTTTTTGGAGGGCTCCTGTGGCCGTATATTATTATCTAATAACTTCAGTGTGTTCATTTTGTGAAACTGTACTCACTTCCGTAGCTTACAATTTGAAGATCTGTTTGGGTAGGGGGAGAATTGTGGTGGTAGCGGGGATGGGTGGATCTAAATCCTTTTGAGTGTGTTCATTATTTCTTGATTTTCTGGTTTCCTGTTTCTATAACTGCATTTGTCTGGTATGTAGCTAGGCTACCAGTTATTTTTATCCTAATCTTACCTGCAAACTAGTCGGTAACTTTTTGCTTTGATGGGGCTCTTCACTGCAGTGCAGTTGCTTGGTGTGGGAAACTGAATGCAATTGCTTGCGCATCAGAGACTTGTGCACGTATTCCAAGGTTAGAGTCCCTTCAACTTCTTTCTCAGATATGTTTTGTGCCTTGATTGCCTTGCATATGTATATCATTTAAAATGTTTAAACTACGAGGTCTGTCTTATGTAGTGGAGCTTGTGGTAGAAAAGTGACGTTTCGTAAGTTGAGCAGAAACATTAGGACATAGTCCTACTGGTAAAATTATAACTCATGTATAAGTAGAGTAAACTATACAAGTAATTTATAAGGGGTGTCTGAGGACTCTGGGAGCAGGTGCTACAATACTCGTACAACAGACAACAAAAGATAGGAAAGTATAGATTGGTAACATAAAAAAATCATAACATTAAGACTGGTAGTAGTAAAATGGAGATCCTCCTGATGTCAATGCCTAGCAAAGAATGCTCGAGTATTCATCCTCTTAGTGGCATTTTTTTTATTCACAGTTTTTTGTATGAAATATTCTTTGGCATAAAATAATTTAAATTATTTATCCAGCTCCAATTCAAGTCCTCCATTTTGGATTCCTATACATATCCTGAATCCAGAGAGACCAACAGAATGCTCTGTATTCAATGTGAAAGCAGGTACATGTCTTTTTATCTGCTACACAAAATATTCTTAACTATGGTTTACTTGCATGTTATTCTTTGCTAGACACACATGCCACAAATTTCAATCCCAGTTGTATTTTAGTGGTGTAATTGTACTCAGCTTATGACTGTGTACAAGCAGATGCAGATCAAGTTCGATACTCTGTTGTCTGCTCATCTGAAATAAATATATCTATTCATTTTTATAAAAATGATGTGCTCTCAGCATATTTCACTATAATGGTATTGTCAATTGAACAGATTCTCCACGTGACTTTGTTCAGTTCATTGAATGGTCTCCTCGGTCCTGCCCTCGTGCATTGCTAGTGGCAAATTTTCATGGGCGGATCACTATATGGACACAGCCAACAAAGGTAAGTTATTCCCTTGAGATGGATGCATCATTTCTTTTTAGAGTTAACTTTGCAGTTCAATAAGAACACAAGTTTCTCTGATAGCTGCTGAAACAAAGTTTTATATTTGATGTTATCAAATATTTTCATACTAATCACTTTATTCTGTGGTGAAGGGTCCTGTAAATCTTGTACGTGATACAAGCTCGTGGCAGTGTGAACATGAATGGCGTCAAGATCTTTCTGTGGTGACCAAGTGGTTGTCAGGAATTTCTCCGGTACGTTGGTAACGCACATAATACTCCATGCTGTTTACCTTCATTATTTAGCATGCCCCATTATGGTTAATTCAACAATGCTGCTGAATGACCCTGTTTTCAGTTTTCACAGATCAGATTTCTTGAGCACCATAACAGTGCTCAGAATCATTTTATATTTGTCAAACGCAATATTCAAATTAATTGTAGTGTTCTGTTAAGATCCAGATTGCTGTTCATACACCCCAGTCTATGTACAGGTAAGTACTTTTCAAGGGCGTTTCGGTCATCCTTCATCGAAAAGTGCTACTACCTAGATATGCCATATACACGTGCCTTGGTTATAGACTTATAGTTGGCAAGTTTGCGAAAGGGACAGGGAGGGAGGGATTAGGAAGATAGAATCATATCTCGGAATTCTATATTAACAATCAATTGAAAAAGGTATTCAGCCTTGAAGCATCAAATACGAAACTAAAGGAAAAATAGGAGTACAGTATTGGGTCTGTGTGAGGCCTTATTGGCTTGAAAAGAATTGGATTTTAGATAGAAGAATAAGAGATACCAAGCTATAAACCTTTAACTGCTGCTAAATTTGTTGTTCTTATTGGTCCTGCAGTATAGATGGCTTCCTACAAACTCCACTAGTTCAAACCTGAAGACCTTTGAGGAAAAATTCCTCACCCAACAGCCTCAGAGTTCAGGTTGGTGAACCAAAATCAAGTTTATTATGGAATATATTTTCTTGGCAGGTTTTGCACATATAATTTACTCCTGAAAATCTGACCTAAGCTTCTTGTTGCAGTGGGATGGCCAAGTATTCTATGTGTTTGTTCAGTTTTTTCATCAGGTTCTGTTCAGCTTCATTGGTCACAGTGGCCTTCTCAAAACTCAGCACATCCTAGATGGTTTTCTACTAGCAAAGGGCTTCTAGGAGCAGGACCCAGTGGCATAATGGCTGCTGATGCTATTGTAACAGAATCTGGAGCTTTACATGTTGCTGGGGTACCCCTTGTTAATCCATCCACTGTAGTTGTTTGGGAAGTGATGCCAGGTCATGGAAATGGTATTCAGGCAACTGCAAAGATAAATGCAACAAGTTCTGTTCCTCCGTCTCTGAATCCCCCTTCATGGCCTGGTTTTGCTCCGCTAGCGGCCTACCTATTTTCTTTGCAAGATTATCTTGTTTCTGAGGGTGCACAAACAAAAAAGCTGACAGACAATGAGACTACTGAGGCTGCATCAATCCATTGTTGTCCAGTTTCTAATTTTTCAGCTTATGTCAGTCCAGAAGCAGCTGCACAGTCAGCTACTACCACCACCTGGGGGTCTGGGGTCACTTCAGTTGCTTTTGATCCGACTCATGGAGGATCAGTCATTACAGTTGTAATAGTTGAAGGTGAGAATACAACTCCATTCAGGAGATGACCCAGTTCTGGTGCGATATATTTTTCGTATCTCAAGTCACAGTAATAATCCATTTTTTTCTGAAACATGACATGAATGTGATATCATTAGTGTTCTCCTACACTTCATGATCACATACTCTGTACCTCCAAAGGTCCACCATTCTTCTCCCCACCAAAAAGAAAAAAAAAGAACGCACATGCATGCACTTGTGTGCATGAAAACAAAAGGGCGTACCCAGTGCAGAGAGCTCCCGCTCTGTGCGGGGTCTGGGGAAGGGTGTTAGTGGCAACTGGCAAGCCTTACCCTCGCCTGTGCAATGCGAGGAGAACGCGACTCGAACCCGGGACCTTCCGGTCACAGGCGGTAACACTCTACCGCTTGCACCAGGCCCGCCCTTCGTGTGCATGAAAACAACTCTTACTAAATTTAACTGTATATGTCTAGAATTGGAATTAGATGAGAGATGGATCTCAGTACACTAACATGCACTCAGCTTTTATTCTAACTGCCATGTTTCTTACAATCTGTGCCATATTCTAGAACATGAGTTCTCAATCAGCAACTGTTCAATTTACATTCTTTGTACTAACTTTTTGTGCATCAGTTGAGATAGCTGGTGTTTATTTACCTTTTGGTGATCTTTATATTACTTCTTGCAGGGCAGTACATGTCTCCTTATGATCCTGATGAAGGACCTTCTATCACTGGATGGAGGGTGCAATGCTGGGAATCTTCGCGTCAACCTGTTGTTCTTCATCCAATATTTGGAAGCCCTACTAGTTTAGGTGGGCAGCCTCCCATGCAAACTGTTTGGTCTACTAGAGTTAATAAAAGCATTCCACCAACAGAGGACCTTAAAAATCCTCAAACATATGTTCCGATGCCGACGACATCAGATGAACGGAGCTCCTCTGAGTGCAGTGTTGACAGAGCGAACAGACTCAGCTTTGACCCTTATGATCTTCCAAATGATGTTAGACAACTGGCTCAAATAGTTTATTCTGCTCATGGTGGTGAAGTTGCCGTTGCTTTCCTCCGTGGAGGAGTGCATATTTTCTCAGGTCCAAATTTTGATCAGGTTGACAGCTACCATGTCAATGTTGGCTCTGCTATTGCTCCACCAGCCTTTTCGTCAAGCAGTTGCTGCTTGGCATCAGTTTGGCATGACACTCTCAAAGATCGAACCATACTGAAGATAATACGTGTCCTTCCTCCTGCAATTCTTAGCACGCAAACAAAGATCAGCTCAGCAGCATGGGAGCGTGCAATAGCAGATAGGTATGTTACCAAATTTGTAGACACTGATTCCTAATTAGTACTCCAAATGATTACGTTGTCCTAAACCTCATATATTTATATATGAGGGAGTGTGATTTTGTGTCTTTGTGATAATTAGATAATTTTGTATCTCTTGTTGGGGTTCATGTCTACCCTAACCCAACTTGATTGAGGCCAAAGGCTTTGTTGTTCCTGTATTTCATTGATAATGTATATTTCTGGCAGATTTTGGTGGAGTCTATTGGCTGGAGTTGATTGGTGGGATGCTGTTGGTTGTACACAGAGTGCTGCCGAAGATGGTATAGGTAAGGGAATTGCTGATGATGATATGCTTTAGTGTGTAGTCTATGCTTATCCAATTGGTTTTAATTTTCCTGTGTTTTGCGTGTTGGAGGCTGAGCTGTAGCAATAAAGTTGATTCTCATGTGCGACAGTTCATCTTCTGCAAGCACATTTTGGGGTTTATACTCTATGGAAATTAGAAACTGACCTAGTATTTGACATTTCTAATAAAGACATCATTTCTTAGTGGAATAAATATTTGGTTGTGCTTATTTTTTTGTCTTGTATTGTTTGCAAGAGATAACATTGAACTGGTGAATTCTGTATTTGGCATATGTTGAATTTCCCTTTATATTCCTTCAGTCGTTTACCCCTGGTTCCTAAATCTTTGTGTGGTTGTTTCGGTGTAGTAGTTTTTCCATTTTGACCGTGGCAGTGTGGCGCATGTGTAATTCTTTCTCATAAACGTGTGTGTGTGTTGGGGGTGTTTGCGAGTGGACTTTGGTCTCTCCCTTGTACTAGGAGTAGGTGCATGCCTCTCCTATGCAGTTTCTCTCTCTTCTTAGGCTGTCTCCAACAGGAGACCCATTAGGAGACCCAAACTCAAAATGGGTCTCCAACACAATACCTATAGCCTCCAACAAAGTATCTATATCGAGGATCCATTTTGGGTGTCAGGAGAGATATAACCCAAATCTGAGTATCATCTCCCCTGGAGACCCATTTGCAGAAAGGGTTCTCTTTTGGGTCTTGTTGTTGGAGAAGTCCAAAAATAGGTATTGAACCCTTTGCCTGTAGCGCTACCCAAACGTGGAATGGGTCTTGTATTTTGGGTAACGGTTGTTGGAGACAGTCTTAATGAAATGATGACACAGCTGTCCTGCGTCGTTCAAGAAAAAAATATTCCTACAAACTGTATCCCTTCGTACTTTGTTAGTTTATTTCCATTTGTGATGCTATTTTCTGAGCAAATAGAATGTGTTTTTAATCTGTACAATTGTCTATGGAAAACTAATGTACTTGTTTCTTCCAGTTTCACTTAACAGCGTGATAGCTTTTCTGGATGCGGACTTCCATTCTCTTCCGACTATGCAACAGAGGCAGCAGCACTGTCCTGTAAGTGTTGCTTTTGGTGAACTACACTAGTTTAAAGTGGTCTCCGATTGTTTATATATTATTTTTATCTTTTTACATTTTTACACTTGAATAGCTATGTTGCATGTACACTGTCTTAACCACAGTTAACTCATCATTTACCACAGTGGTCATACTATAAGTCACACAGTTGAGTTTGAATAAATTTATGTAGATTTAGATATACATACTGTTTCCTTGGCTTCTTCCTTTCATGCACATCGACAACTTTCTCTTTTGCTTGTTTCCATATCAACTAGCCATGTAACACATTAGAGTGCATTTTTTGCATGCCCTGCTATTTCTTTTTCCCCCTATTTCCTACTCTATGAGATAGTGGACATAAATCTCATTATAATATTTATATTTAGCAACTATTAAAAGATTTGTACCCACTCTATGAGTCTTTTTATAGCAAAAAATATGATTATATTTTGTATGCATCACTATTATCTGTAACTAATAAGCTTGCAAAACCATATCTTGGTCCCACTGGTATTAGACTATCAGTGTAGATGTTTTCCCCCCTTTTTCATGTGGGTGTTTATACTCTTTCAGTGAATTTGGTTCATTTTGATATTTCTATAAACAAATATACATTCATGTCTATCCACTGGCATAACTTTGGATTTTAAAGTGAATTATAGCATAACACAGATCAATATACTGTTCTCTTCAAATATAGAACTCTGTTAATGTTGTTCTGCTGCCACAGGGATATGTAAATTGCACATTTTATTGGGCATCTACAAAAGTGCCATAGTTTTTTTTTTAATTTTAACTGCAAAATGCTGCTGGAAACTTTTCCAGTGGCAGCTTGCCATTGGGTTGAAAATCATTGGCATCTCAGTAGTTGTTTCTAAATTAATTGACTGGCTGGACAGCTGATTCATATGATATTTTGGGTTTAATTTGTGAGTTAATATGAAGTTGGAATTTCGGGTGATATTTTATACCTTTTGGCTTCAATGTTTGAGGACTTATTGAGCTACCTTTCTTCCTCTAATTAATGGATGTACATGCAGAACCTTGATAGGATAAAGTGTAGGTTGTTGGAAGGAACAAATGCCCAAGATGTACGTGCACTTGTGTTGGACATGCAAGCAAGATTACTTCTGGATATGCTAGGCAAAGGAATCGAGTCTGCCCTTACAAATCCATCAACTCTGCTACCTGAGCCGTGGCAAGCTTCTAGTGATATGTTATCCAGCATCGAACCGGACAAAATGACTGTTGAGCCAGCTCTACTTCCAAACATCCAGGTCGAGCTGTCTCCTTTACGCAAGTTATTTCTATTTCATAGCCATGGAACTTAAATTCAGCTATCTAATGTCCATTTCTTTTTTTACTGACTTTATTCTTTGAAGACTTGCTACTGAGCCGTTTTTCTTTTCATTTTATAATGTAGTGAGCAGTATATTGGTATGCTAGATCACTTCCACGTAAACATTGCCTTAGTTATGTTGGTGAACTCATGTTCAATGCCTGCAATGCTTTGCCAAAACTGGTGTATTAGTCTTTTAATGTTCACTATTGTACAAATTTCAGCACAGGTTATGTGCATAGGGATTCTCCATGTTACTAGAAAATAGCTTATTTTATTTGCATTCAAATGCAGGGTTACGTTGATGCTGTTCTTGATTTAGCATCACATTTCATAACACGCTTGCGACGTTATGCGAGTTTCTGTCGAACTCTGGCTAGCCATGTGGGACCATCTTCTACCACAGGCACTTCTAGAAACATGGTTACAAGTCCAACAAACAGTTCTCCTTCGCCATCAAATAATCAAGGTTAGCTATGCCTGCTGTCTTGCTAAATCTTATGTTTTTCTCTTGTTTGTGCACAAAAAGGTACATCCCAATCTTATGTTTTCTCCATTGCATATTTGAGGCTTATGTGTTGTTTATTTAGTGCTGCTAGCATCTTGACAATCCTTCAAATTTCAGGTAATCAAGGGGGATCAACAACATCTGCAACAGGAAACTCACAAATGCAGGAGTGGGTCCAAGGTGCAATTGCTAAGATTAGTAACAATTCTGATGGTGCTGCTACTGCAACACAAAATCCAATGAGCACGAGGTCATCATTTATGCCCATCAGCATTAATACGGGCACTTTCCCTGGCACACCTGCTGTTAGACTTATTGGGGATTGCCATTTTCTTCATAGATTATGTCAATTACTGCTATTTTGTCTTCTTTTCCGAAGAAGGCAATCGCCAAGGTTATTGGCAAATTCACAAAAAAATCAAGATTTTGCTATCCAGAAAATACAGCACATGATGAATGCTAAGACAGAGGACAACAGTACGACAGTAAGATCTGGTCTAGGGGCTGCCAAAGTAGAAGATGGCCAGTCTACGCGTGGTGGGCAATTTGTTCTTGGTGCGAAGGGTCCTGAAGAAAATCTGATTGGCAAATCTGTTAGAATAGGTTCTGGCAACGCTGGGCAAGGTTATACTTCAGATGAGGTGATTAACAAATTCTTGGCAAAATACAGTATTTTTTGTCGCAACCTAGAGTTTGTTCAATGGAAATAAGCAACATCGTATATATATCAGTTAAATAGCTGCAGAAATCCCTTTTTTTACACTGTTTAATATTGAGTGATACTAAAGGAAATTTTGGGAGTTAGTGTGATCAAACTGGGATCGATCGTTGGCATTTGAACTTTTCTTTAGTGAAGAAGCTGATGATGTTCCAAATGCGCTGAAATACTTTTGTGACCTGAACATAGTGACTAGTATGGAAGGGTGGGCCTGGTGCAAGCGGTAGAGTCTTACCGCCTGTTACCGGAAGGTCCCGGGTTCAAGTGGTGGTCTCCTCGCATTGCACAGGCAAGGGTAAGGCTTGCCACTGACACCCTTCCTTAGACCCCGCACAGAGCGGGAGCTCTCTGCACTGGGTACGCCCTTTTTAACATAGTGACTAGTTTGGAAACAACTATGTTTTGGCTCCTGCATTTCTTTGGAAATGTCTAGCCATGGTTGCTATGGGAGAACACATGTCGATATAGCCATCATATAGTGCAATTGCATCTGTAGGTTAATTTAAGCAGTTTAAAATTTCATCCAGCCTAGCATGGACAGCGGTTAGATTGCATAATTTGTTTATGATCTCTTATTAGTGATTTGCCAGATGCTTTACAGATTTGTCTTTCTATTTTTTGAAGACTTATTTTTGTCTAGTTTATCTAATTATCTGTGTAATTTTATTTCATTGTTGTAGGTCAAGGTCCTTTTTCTTATATTGGTTGACCTGTGTCGAAGGACATCTACCTTGCCGCATCCATTGCCTGCCTCTCAGGTTGGTTCCAGCAGCATTATAATAAGGTTGCACTACATTGACGGCAATTACACTGTGCTCCCTGAGGTAGTGGAAGCATCTCTTGGTCCCCATATGCAGGTACTGGTCAAATTCTCATGGAAGTTTCTAGTAGTCGATTTTTGTACTATTTGTGACCATTTTTGAGCTACCAGCATCTATCAATTATAGGAGTATAAGTTGATTTTCAAGTGCACCACTCAGAGATATTGCAAGTCTTTCTGTTTTGGACCGAATTCAGGACGGACACCTTTAAATGTCGATTAGGGTTCTCTTTGCAGAAGTTATCTATTTTGTATTAGCCATCTTTTTATGGAAACATGCACTACTGTCAGGGCCTTAGGCACGTCATTTTGAGTGATCCCTTGATGCCTAGGTCCCCATCTATTTTCAATATTCATTATTTCCTATATCTGTCTGTAGAATATGCCTCGTCCACGAGGAGCTGATGCTGCTGGTCTTCTACTTCGAGAATTAGAACTGCAACCTCCTGCAGAAGAATGGCATAGACGCAACATGTTTGGTGGACCCTGGTCAGAACCAGATGATTTTGGTCCATTGGACAATATGCCTCGTCTAAAAATTAGTGGTTCCATCAACTCTCATTTGTCTGATATGGAAGAGGATGCTGGCAGTTCGGTTGGGATTCATAGTCTTTGGCCAAGAAAGCGTAGGTTATCTGAAAGAGATGCGGCATTTGGTCTGAAAACATCTGTAGGTCTTGGAGGTTATCTAGGTGTCATGGGATCTCGAAGGGATGTTGTTACGGCTGTGTGGAGAACAGGTCTTGATGGTGAATGGTACAAGGTGAGTATGGTTATGGTTGCTTTACCTTTTGCTGTCAAGTCTGGGTTCATAGTTCCTTGACGAGTTTTTATTAGAGAATCCTGGGTACTCTCCTGATATACTTGACATCTAAATTTGCTGTTTCTTCTTTCTAGTGCATACGTTGTTTACGGCAAACTTGTGCATTTGCGCATCCTGGTGCCCCAAATCAGACAAATGAACGTGAGGCTTGGTGGATCAGTCGGTGGAGCCATGCCTGCCCAATGTGTGGGGGTTCATGGGTGAAAGTTGTTTGAGTGGGTTCATGGGTTAAAGTTGTTTGAGTGCTGTATTTGGCAACAACTTCGCTGCTGATTGCTTTCTTGGCAAATATGTATCAACTACCATAGTTTTGCATCTAATGCTAGACTCCTAGATTCAGATTCAGGTTCAGGCCAGAGGATCATGCTTGGTCTACAGGCACATGTACTTGGCGTAACAACTGTGGAAGCCTCTTGTAGAATTAGGGGCAATTCTGGGGGTCTGGACTTTGGACCATGTAACTAACATTTGCATTATGCTGTCTTCGTGTACATAGTGTATTATTAACCAGTGACATTCCTTACTAAAAGAAGAGTGACATTGTTACATGTTCAGTGCTGGACGTATGTTTCGTGTTTTGTTGTGTGTGCGCGCGCGCACGTGTGCGCCTTGCTGGGAGAGGATAAGTCTTCCTCCACCAGGCAAGGTGATTTTCCCGTCGTGTGTTTGGTATACATCGTTGTTGTTTCTTTTATATCATGCGTGCTCGGTGCACCAGGCTAGTTTTTTGTTCCTGTCGTGTTTGCTGTATTGTTGTTGGTATTTCTTGAGTAATGTATGTTTTGTTATGGCTGCGTTCTACAAAAGGAGATGCTGCTGAAATTCCTTGTTTTGCTATAATAATAGTAGTTCCATGAGTTGGGTATTACAATTGCGACTGTCAAGCAGAAATGGTAGTTACAGGCCAGATATTTCTTACTTCAATTTTTGGGTGGGCCATTTTTGCAAGGACGGATTAGTGCAGAAGCTAGGAAGAATTTTGATTATAATGGCTGAGGAGGGCCCAAAGGGCAATGTTACTACGTATCGTATTCTGCTTCGTGGTATTGCTACTAAAGTAGCTTTTGTTGAAAAAATTGAATGATCTCATTGATTTCATGGTATGGAACGGTATTCCACTTCCACCTGACCATGTCTGCAGCATAAGCATCTACATGTTGTAAGGGCAGAACGTTAGTTGAAGCTTTGCTTTTATATTTGACAAAATACGGCAGCAAGGATTGGGCCCTGGTGATGTTTCATATAATACAATGATCACTGGCGTGGCTTGGCTGGTAAAATGATAACAATGAAACTCCTTGATGCTATAGTTTCGATTGGCTTCAAATCTGATGACTTATCTTATAATATACATGATTAATGGGGCCACCGTAAAACTGAGGGTGCAAGATGCACTATCTCTGTTCAGTCAAATGCTGGGGGAGTTAAGCCTGACTCTTATCTCACATCGCATGACATGGCAAGTAATTTTCAGATATTGGCCACTGCTGCAGTGCTGCTGGCCTTCTTCGAAGGAAGTCTATCTCAAAGCGACACACAGGTGGAAAATTTGCAATATAATATAATTGTAATAGGGATTTTCGAAGGTAATTGTGTTGATGAAGAAAATATGCATGAATCATTTCAACTTTCTCATTATCGTCAAGAACTTTAGAGACTCTTCTAACTTAAGCGGGCATAATGGGCTCTTTTTAACCAAAAAAAAAACTATATATGATTGAAGTTTTATTTGTGTGTTGTATTTGAGCTTTCCTTTTGGACTTCAGGCATTCTTTCACATATTGTCTTAATAACTGTATTTTTGCCATTTTAAGTATTGCATGTTTTCAGTTGCAGGTTTTCTAGTTGCTTTGAACATGTGCTTATTATGTAGCACCACATTTGTTCACACACCTGTGGTCCTATACAGAAAATTTCCATTGCATGTTTTCAATTTATACTTCGCACATGATGTTATTATTTTCCATCGAAGTTTCAGCACATGCCTGTGGGCTGTGGCTCAATGGAACTTTGATTAGGGATTCTGTGAGAGCATCTTCTAGCTAAAGGCAAATCATGGAATATGGTTATTAGTCAGCATCTGTACCTCTAGAAACATCATGGTTATTAGTCAGCGTACTCCCTAGGAGGGATTTTGAGAAAATTAATTTGGTTTGCACTTTATGATAAATTGTCATTTTCGAACTAGAAAAAAAAGGCTTGTACAGTAAGATCTAAGATGTATGAAATGGCAACGACTGCATCCGAGGAATTTGAGCTTCTCGTTGCATAACGCTTCATTTGCACGCCTTGTAGCTGTTAGTAGCCTGTATTGAGAAATCATAAGTAAAAGTAACACTTGTGTACATGGCCTCGGTCCTTTTGAAATACAGGATTTTCCCCCATGAAAATAAACTGATTTTGAAATTCCTATACGATTATTGCGAAAGGCTCTTCCTCAGTTTTTCGGTGATCAACCAAGACAAGAAAGTGAAAATTTGTCCGGTTTAAAATCCATATATAGCGATTTAACAACTTGGCACATCTAGTGATTCACCATGCTCCGATTTGAGGACGATCGAATCGGAGCCGTCCATTTTATTAAACAGTTCGGGGTTCAGCACTTCAGCTCTGCTGCCGCGAGTGCGCAGACTCCCGGACCAAACGAGACGAAGGGGTCCAGTGTTAGTGCTGTAGGATCACTAGGATCATAGATCTAGCCGGTAGAGTGATTTTATTCGAGATAAAGGACACAATTCATCCTAATACATGTAGAACTAGAGAGACAGAGAGGGAAGGGAGAAGGTGTTGAACCTGACACCGCAGAGGGGAAGGGTTCAGTGGACGCCATCACGTTCGTTGGTGTAGTCTGCGCACGGGCAGCGACGGTCGGTGAAGAGGGCGATGAAAACGTCGACGTCGATGGAGCGGGCGGCGCGGCTGGTGGCTTCCCGTCACTGGCTGCGCCCCTCTCTGACCGGATTAGGGTTTTGGTGTCGGTGGGGAGCTCGGCTCAGGTCAACCTCGTGATAAGAGCCGCCGGCCTCCACCTCTTTTTATAGCGCAGTGTGACAGGGGCCCTCCAGCCATGGTGGGTTAGACGCCCCCGATCAAGGTGCGAATCAAAGGTCCAACTGGGCCGTTGGGTCCAGTTAGGATTAGAGATCAATCTAACAATCTCCCCTTGATCTCTTTCCATCTTTTACTTTCATATCATTTACTTTTGTTCATTCCATTACAGATTAGCGAATAGAGCAAGTCTCATCGTCACGGTCTATTGCCGATAGATTTAACAGCTATAACACACCACTCTGTTCTGAAATAGATACTTATCTTTGAGCCTTTTTTTGTCCAGGAATTATAGGCTTTCCCTTAAACCCATGCCGGCTATATGTTCTCTGAACATGTTGGGTGGTAAGCCTTTTGTAAGCGGATCCGCGAGCATCTTTTCGGTACTTATATGCTCAAGACTTATGACTTGATCCCGGACTTTATCTTTCACAATATAATACTTTATGTCAATGTGTTTGGCAGCACCACTTGACTTATTGTTGTGAGCATACTGTACTGCCGGATTATTATCGCAGTATAACTTAAGTGGTCTATAGATGTCGTCAACCACCTTCAAACCGGGTATGAACTTCTTTAACTAGTTCACCTGCCCCGTTGCCTCATAACACGCTACAAACTCGGCATACATTGTGGACGATGCAGTGACGGTTTGCTTTGAGCTTTTCCATAAAATAGCTCCTCCTGCGAGAGTGAATACATATCCAGACGTGGATTTTCTATCATCTCCCGCATAATCAGAATAAGAATATCCCACTATATGGAGTGAATCTGATCTTCTATACGTCATCATGAGGCCTTTCGTTCCTTGCAAATAACGCAAGACTCTCTTTACTAATTTCCAGTGTTCGGTTCTAGGATTGCTCTGGAATCTGCCAAATAACCCGGTAACAAATGCCAAGTCAGGGCGTGTACATACTTGAGCATATTGCAAGCTTCTGACAGCTGAAGCATATGGAACCACTTTCATTTGATCGATCTCATATTGGTTTCTAGGGCATTGAAATCCCCATATCTGTCGCCCTTGATTATAGGAGTAGGCGAGGGACTACGTTTGTGCATACTGAATTTCTTTAAAAATTTTTCTATGTGTGCCTTTTGTGACAGTCCTAATACCCCTTTACTTCTATCTTGGTGAATCTTGATCCCTAGAACGAATGAAGCTTCACCAAGATCTTTCATATCAAATTTTGAGGACAAAAACTTCTTTCTCTTCAGTAGTAGACTGACATCACTACTAGCAAGTAAGATATCATCCACATACAGAACAAGAAAGATAAACTTCCTATTCTTAAACTTTGTATAGACACAATTGTCTTCTACATTCTCTTTAAACCCAAAATTCCTTATTGTCTGACCAAACTTCAAGTACCATTGTCTTGAAGCTTGTTTTAATCCATAAATTGATTTCTTTAGGTGGCATCCCATTCGTTCTTTTCCTTCCATGACAAAACCTTTCGGTTGTGCCATGTAAACAATTTTCTCCAAGTCCCCGTTGAGAAATGCCGTCTTTACATCCATCTGATGTAATTCTAAATCGTAATGTGCCACTAATGCCATTATGATTCTGAAGGAATCCTTACATGAGACTGGAGAAAAGGTCTTATTGTAATCAATTCATTCTCTTTGCGTAAAACATTTTGCCACAAGTCGTGCTTTATATCTCTCTATATTCCCTTGAGAGTCAAGTTTTGTTTTGTAGACCCATTTACAGCCTATTGTTTTGGCTCCTTTAGGAATTATCTCCAAATCCCAAACTTTATTGACATTCATAGATTTCATTTCATCTTCCATGGCCTCAAGCCACTTTGATGAATGATCACTTCTCATGGCTTCTTCAAATGAGATGGGATCATCCTCCATTTGAAATTCCTCAGTGTTGTACACTTCATAATCAGCAGGAATAGTTGATTTTCTAACTCTTTGAGACCTTCTATGGGCCTCCACATTTGGCACATCTTTTGTTTGAGGCTGTTATTGCTCCCCCTCATTTGTGGCAATAGGTTCTACATGATCCTGAAGAACAGGTTCCTCATCATCATTCATTGTTGCCACAGGTAAAATAACAACAGGTGCTGGCACCATAGTATCTTACACTGTCGGTGCAGCGACAGCTGGTAGTGAGAAAAATGGCTCATGAATCATCGGAGTGGGCGCATACACCCGCTTCTCTTCAAGGTCAATTTCTTGAGCTACCATGCTCCCCCTCATCATTTCATCCTCTAGGAAGACTGCGTGTCTCGTTTCCACAAACTTTATATGTCTGTCTGGACAGTAGAAACAAAAACCTTTTGACTTTTCTGGGTAACCAATGAAATGACAACTCACTGTTTTGGGATCTAGCTTCCCAATGTTTGGGTTAAATACTTTAGCCTCAGCAGGACTCCCCCATACACGTAAGTGGTTTAGTGAGGTTACTCTTCCTGTTCACAACTCATACGGTGTTTTGGGCACCGACTTACTTGGTACTCTATTGAGAATATGAATGGCGGTTTTTAACGCCTCCATCCACAGGCTCATCGGTAAGGTGGAGTAACTTATCATACTGCACACCATATCCATCAGGGTACGATTGCGCCTTTCAGCTACTTCATTCTGTTGAGGTTTGCCCGGTGTAGAATACTGGGCTACTATGCCATTCTCCTGTAAGAACCTTGCAAAAGGTTCAGGAACTTGGCCATATGGGGTATACCGACCGTAGTACTCCTCCCACGGTCGGACCTGACTATCTTAATCTTTAAATTGTGTTGGTTTTTAACTTCTGCCTTAAATATCTTAAATTTATCCAATGCTTCTGTTCTTTTTTTTATTGGATAAATGTAACCATAACGGGAGTAATCATCTGTGAATGTTATGAATAAATCATAACCATTCACACTCTTTACAGGAAACATACAACAGATGTCTGTGTGAATAATCTATAGAATTCCTGCGCTTCGTTTGGCATCTTTCTTAATTTTCTTTACATACTTTTCTTTAATGCATTCTCTGTATTGTTCTAAATCTAAGAGCTCTAATGAAGGAAGAATATCATTCTTAACTAGTCTTTCTATTCTCCTCCTCGAAATATGGCATAAACGACAGTGCCATAATTTCAACAATGCATCGTGAGCTCTCTTTCATTTTCTGTTTACATCCACAGACGAGGATACATTCACATTGTCGCACGCAACGTTCCCATCATCGCATACAACATTCACATCATCACATAGTGATAACAAATAAAGCTCATTTTGTAAAATAGCAAGACCAACACATGCATTATTAAATGTTATCTTACATTTGTCATTTCCAAAATAACAATCATATCCATCATTATCCAAACATGAAACATTAATCAAGTTCCTCTGTAACAAGGGAACATAAAGAACATCTCTAAGTATAAGTTTGAAACCATCAGCAAGCTCTAGAGAAAGATCGCCAACGGCTTCAACTTCTGCTCGGTCTCCATTTGCAACTTTAACGTGTCTTTCGCTTCTTTGCGTAGTCCTCGTCGAACGGAATCTCTGTAAAGAATTAGCAACATGAACAGTTGCACTTGAGTCAATCCACCAAGTAGATTTCGAATACTATACATACATGGATTCATTTATGAACGTAATAATGTCCTCACCTTTCTTTGCCATGATCATCTTTAAGTAATCGGGACAATCTTTCTTATAATGTCCCGTCTTCTTGCAATAGAGACATTGATTTTTCTTCACTGTGAACTTGTTTTGCTGAGGCTGATGCAGCATGGGACCCTTTTCCTTTGCCTTTGAGGAGAAGTTAGCATTAGTATTCTTTTTCTTATTGTCTTTCAAATAATTGATAGAGCCACCATTGGTAGCTTTCATTCTCTTCTCCTCTTGCACACACATAGCCATGAGCCTCTTCATGTCCCACTTCTCGGACTGTATGTTGTAGTTGACAACAAAAGTGTCAAACTCTTTTGGCAAGGAAGCAAAAATCAGATGGATAAAGAACTCATCCTTGAGAGCCAGATCCATTGGTTTTAGCTTGATGCCAAATTGCTCATCCTTAGTATGTGCTCTCTTATGCCACCATTACCAGAGTACCTCTCTGTCACTAGCTGCTTTATCAGCTGGGTAGCATATGTCTTTGAAGAGCCAGTGAACTGACTCTTTATTCTTTCGAGGTACTTGGTGACGATGTCACACTCTGGGATTGAGCCCACAATTGCAGGTTCAATCGTGTTTTTTATCACAACCAAATATTTTTTGTTGACAGTGACCCACTTTCTATGCTCAAGGTCATAGGACATCCTTTGGGATGCAAAATCCCTCTCTTTTGTTGTCCAAGCGGCATCAACCTCGTTTGTCTCCCTCACCGGTGCCACAAGCTCTATAGGACATAGTGTGGTGACTACCCAGTCCACCTCAGCCAAGATGAAGACCAGGTCAATCTTTTTCTTCCACTCCGTGTAGTTATCACCTTTGAGAGTGGGGATCTCTTTGATACAACCCATCAAGTTGTATCTGCCTGAAAACACAATTCATATAGAGTGAGAACATAAATAATAACAATAACAATTGCATGCCTTAGTTTCAACGTTGATCAAAATTAAAGCATACAATTGTTCTCTACACTAATTCTACATCACTGTTGGGCAGAAATAGAATTAATGCAAGACAAAACATCATAATATTGCCATTAATCAACATTGGTTAGAATAATAACAAATATTATAATCAGTTAAAACATATCCTATTTCAAAATTAAATTTTCCCGTGGGTTCGAATTTAATAATGAAAATAACATCTTTAAATACGCCGTGGAAAAATAATATCAATTTAGTGAATTTTACCCACATGAAAATTCTCTTTTCTATTTTCTTTAAGCCATTAATCAATTTCCAGGAAATAAACATTTACTGGAAAAAGAAAAAGAAAAACTGATTCATTTCAAAGATTGTTGATTCATCGATCGACAAAAGCGGCCTAGCCTAACTTCTCTCACTTGTCCTGCAGCCGAGCCGCAAGCAACTGGGCTGGTCAAAGCAAAAGCGTCGCTGACATCTCCTTCTTACTTCGGCTCGAAACCCATGGCCGCTTCGCTCGCTTAGCATGAAAAGGCCCGCTCGATCTGAGCCGTCCGTGCCGATCCGATGGCCGAGCGACGATATCGCGTGAACAAAAACACTGCCGCGGCCGTCCGACCCGAAACCCTAGCTCATTCTATTCTTTCCTCTCTCTCTCTCTTCACAAGACTTGTCTCTCCTCGAGACAACAAAGACCGAAAATAGAAAGCGAAAAGCAAACGCCGACGAGAGCGAGAGAGAGCCGGCTGGCTGTCGCTGCCCCCCTGTTTGCAGGCGGCGCTCCCGGTGAGTGGCGTGCCGCCGAGCGGCCTGCTGGGCGCCTCTTTGGCTAGAGCTAGGCGAGTTGCGCCCCCGGCTCGGTGTTCTATTTCTTGCGCGCCAACGAGGCAGTAGCGCTGCGCAGCGACGAGGTAGGCCACCCTTCCCCTTCGGATTTGCTTCTATGTTGGCGCCGATTCAACCGATTTGGGATGGGGATCGAAGTTAGGGTTAGGGTTTCACTATTTATCTTCCCCGTGAAGTCTTTTACGGGTTTAGGGTTCGAGTCTTACGTTCTTAAGGCCGAAACCCTCTTCTTTTTCTCCTTTCCTTAACCCAGTTAGAGTTAGGGTTCAATCGAACCCTCTGTTCTTGTTAGACCCGCACTGGATCTAACCTTCTACTTTCTTTTCTAATCGGTTTACCCGTTCTAGATCTAAAAACCCTAGAAACCGATGGCTTTGATACCATTGTTAGTGCTGTAGGATCACTAGGATCATAGATCTAACCGGTAGAGTGATTCTATTCGAAATAAAGGACGTAGTTCATCCTAATACATGTAGAACTAGAGAGACAGAAAGGGAAGGGAGAAGGTGTTGAACCTGACACCGCAGAGGAGGAGGGTTCAGTGGACGCCATCACGTTCGTTGGTGTAGTGTGCGCACGGGCAGCGACGGTCGGTGAAGAGGGCGATGAAGACATCAACGTCGATGGAGCGGGCGGCGCGGCTGGTGGCTTTCCGTCACTGGCTGCGCCCCTCTCTAATCGGATTAAGGTTTTGGTGTCGGTGAAAAGCTCGGCTCAGGTCAACCTCGTGATAAGAGCCGTCAACCCATCTCTTTTTATAGCGCAGTGTGACAAGGACCCTCAAGGCAATGTGGACTGGGCGACCCCGATCTGGCGCGAATCAAAAGCCCAAGTGGGCCGTTGGGTCCAGTAAGGACCAGAGATTAATCTAACATCCAGATCTCTCTCCCCCGTCTCCGGCGATGGCTTCGCCTTACGCCGGCGGCGTGCAGCCTCCCTCTCCCGCTGCGGCGGTGCAGCAGCAGCAGCAGAAGAACCACTCCCTGGCGTTCCGCGTGATGCGGCTGTCTCGCCCCTCGCTCCAGCCAGACCTGGCCGCGCTGCTCCGCTTCGACCCACGCGACGTCTTCCTCCCTGAGGACGCGCTCACCGGCTGCGACCTGTCGGCCGCCGCCAAATTCCTCGACGGCCTTCTCCACCCTGCGGACTCCGCCACCGCCGTCCCTGGAGACTTCACCCTCCGCGACCGCTTCCTCCTCCGCGACCCAGCCGACGCGCTCGCTCTGCCGGGCCTCCTCGTCCTGCCCCAGTCGTTCGGGTTCGCTTCTCCCCCTCCCAAATCCTGATTCCGGTGTCCTGTCCTGCTCCAGTGCAGCGATCGCTGATTTTGGTGTTGTTCTTGTGTGTGCGTAGCTAGTGCTATCTATTTGGGCGAGACCTTCTGCAGTTACATCAGCATCAACAGTAGCTCCAGCTTTGAGGCCAGGGACGTCGTCATCAAGGTGTTCTATCGAGCGAAACCTCTTTTTATCTGGCAAATTTAGAAATGCATTTGAACTCTTGGGTTATTCTGGCAAACTGGACTAAATTGGTTAGTGATAACTGATAAGTACATTTACAGCTGATTAAACATCTAGGTTACTGCATTTGTTCTAGTATCGGATCTCGAATATCAGTGGTGCTGCACTGCTGCTTGTTGTCATTATGTCATGAGCCAAGGTTTGGATCACCAGTCACTAGATTAGTCAGTGCACTTGTTTCTCTTATGCTATGTCTCTGCATGAGTAGGATGAGTTGAAATGATTATAAATTCAGTGGGAAATTTAGTTAAGAATTTACTCCAGATGGTCTGTTGCTTTTGTGCTGGAATGAGTATAGTTCTGATGATACATTGGCAAGTTTCTCTCTATGTCGAAACTTGTGATACACAGTTACCTTGAGTTTTACAAGCTATAACTGGATTCAGTAGAGCAACTTTTTTTATGCACATGAGTCGTGAGCTAGTAAAGCAACCAACCATCTGATGGATACATGGGAACCTAATATTCATGCAATTTCATGCTCTTCCCCTTATGATCAAGAATCCTTTTTAAGCATATCTCACGTTGTTTGATTCATAAATTATTACTTTATGCTATTTATGGATGCTTGTAAACTGTAAAGTTCTACATGTTTTTTCAACGATAATTTGTGGACATATTTGAAGTAAAATAATTTGCATTGATATAATCGTTGCAGCCAAATCCTAAGTTCCTTATTTTCATCATATCCATAATGTTTTTTCTCAGTGTGGATAGACTAGAAAAATGTTTGTATTCTCCCTCTTTAAATATCTAATTCTGGATGCATTTACTGCTTCTTATTTCAACATAAAGTTTGACTGGTACCTTACTTACACTAGGCCGAAATACAAACAGAGAGACAGAGAATACTTCTTCTGGATACATCAAAGTCCCCTGTTGAGTCAATTAGATCAGGGGGTAGATATGATTTCATTGTGGAGCATGATGTCAAAGAACTAGGAGCACATACGTATGTTCCTTTTCATTTTAATATTATCCATATATTATTCCTTTGCTAAAAACAATCTTTTTTGTTGATTTGCTCATTTAGTGATTGAATTCAGGCTTGTATGTACTGTTAGTCGCTGAATTCTTACTCTTGGTAGTAGTAGAATTCTTACTTACTCGCATCGAGAGAGGATGACACTAGGAGTTGGGGCAATTTTCTAGTTTATTTCTCACACAAACTCACACAAATGCCATGAACAGAGCCGGCTCCTCCTCCGCCTGTGCGACGTGGGCCTGGCCGCGTCGTGGCTGTCGACAGTCCTTGGCCCAATGGCCAAAGCTGGCGCGATGCGGCGGCGTCAAATCTCGTGCGGTTTGTACTGCCGCGTGGGCGCCGCCTGGCGCCTCCTGGGCATCACCCTCAGACTGCGTCCTCGCGATCCCGACCGGCTGGCGCTCTCTCTGCGCGCTTGCGCTGCTTGCCACGCCTGCGACCGCTGTCGCGGAAGAAGGCTCCCCTTCTTCCGGTCACCTTGGCGGGCCCCGCCTTGCTCCCAGTGAGAAGGAGCTTCCGCCTTGGTGGTGATGGGCCCCGAGAGAGATCGTGGCTCATCATTGTCGACGACCTTGAGGCGACCTATCGCCTCCTCGATCGACATCGTGGAGAGAGATCCAACAGGGACTCGATCGAGCGAGCCATCTGCGCTTGTACTTCTCGGGGGACGCGGCGGAAGAGCTTTTCGGCGACTCTCTCTCGTCGAGGTGTCATCATCGAATCGCACCATCTTACGCAGCGAGTGTTGAGGCGGAGAGCAAAGTCATCAACGTCCTCACGGCTTGAAGGCGTGTTCTCCCACTCCTTGCGAAGTGCTGCGGTGTGGACTTCTTTGGCGCGATGTCAATGCCGCCGCGCGTGCATACAGCGATGGCGTCCCAAGCCTCCATGGCAATCCGCTTGTTGGTAGCGAGAAGCGCATCTCGGGCGGGGCTGCGGCGATGAGGGCATCCAGCGCTTTCGTCGATCTAGGTCGAGTCGGCGTCGCCGTGTCGGACGCCTCCCACATGTGCCGCACACTGGAGCTTTACCCTCATCACCGTAGCCCACTCGGCGTAGTTGGTCTTAGTGAGGTAGGCCACCCACCGCCGGGACCGGCGCCCACGACAACATCTGGAGCCCGCCACCTTTGCGGTGCGCGCCTCCTCGAGAGCGCCGCCAGCCGCGCGTCGCGCTGTCTCGGCCGCCGGCGCGCGTCGGGCGCGCGGCTGCCCCAGGAGCGCCACCCGGCGCGCCTCCTCCAGAGCGCCGCCAGCTTGTAACCCCTTTCAGCGCTGTCAGGCTGCCGCTCGCGCCGTGGCGTCGCGTGCTTTGCCATCATTAGGCTGCGCGCTCGCTGCACCGACAAATTGCCTCCCTCTCTAGCAGCTCGAGGTCGCGTCGTCGTGTGTCGTCGTGAAATGGAGCTGCCGATCGCTGCAGCTAGTGAAGCCTCGACCTCGAACCGCCATGCCGCGCTTTTTGCATTCTTGATGGGACATAAACAGCGGTATGCATTCTGGATCTGACATCTTAGCATCTAGGACTAGCATCTAGGACATCATCTAGGATAGCATCTAGGCATATGCTTGGCTAGAAAATGGCTAGCGACCTATAAATATGTATCCGTAACCCCTCAGGTTGGCATGGCATTTGTGTGAGTAGGAGTTGGGGCAATTTTCGGTTTATTTCTCACACAAACTCACACACAAATGGCATGAAAGAGGCTCCTCCTACTTTTCATGGGCGAGATGATTGTCACTACGAGTTGGGCCAAAGCGCGCTGCTGGCGGCTCATCTGGTTTATTTCACACAAACTCGCGGGCACACAAATGCTATGAACAGAGTCACCTGCGGCTCCTTCCTTCCGCTGCGCGACGTGGGGCTCTGGCTGCTGCTGTACGCCGGACACCTCTATGTGAGAAATAAACCGGAAAATTGCCCTAACTCCTAGTGTCATCCTCTCTCGATGAGAGTAAGAATTCTACTACTACCAAGAGTAAGAATTCAGCCACTAACAAGTGGTATCGGAGCCGTACTATCCTGTAGCCTGAGCATCTTCTGCTCATCTCCTCTCCACCACACACACAGCCCAGTGCGGCGGCGAAAGCAGCAAGGCCGCTCCCGCTCCTCGGCCTTCGTCTCAAGCAGCCCTCTCTCTGCCAGCAGCCTCAGTGGCGTCATGTCCGCAGGCGATCTCGGTCTTCGTCGCCTCGAAACGCTTGGCGTCGGTGGGAGGCCGAGAACTTGCCGCCACCGGCAGAGGAACGCGAGTGAGGGCGGCAGAGAGGCCAAGGGCAAGCGGCGCCGAGGTAGGCATTGTGGCCAAGTGAGTGGCGGCAGCAGCAGCAGAGGCGGGGAAGGCAATGGCGGCGGCGGATGCAGCAGCATGGTGGTCTTTGTGGTTTTTTGCTGCCATCAAGGACAACATCCTTGACTGGGACAGCAGCAGCAGCATCCTTGACTGGCATCTTAGCATCTAGGACTAGCATCTGGGACAGCATCTAGGATAGCATTTAGGCATATGTTTGGCTGGCTAGCAGCCTATAAATATGTATCCCCAACCCCTCAGGTTGGCATGGCATTTGTGTGAGTTTGTGTGAGAAATAAAGTAGAAAATTGCCCCAACTCCTAGTGTCATCCTCTCTCGATGAGAGTAAGAATTCTACTACTACCAAGAGTAAGAATTCAGCGACTAACATGTACTGCTTTATATAATGATGGTGATGGAGAGCGTAAATATCTTCCCCAGTTCTTTAAGTTCTCTGTTTCAAATCCATTATCTGTTAGGACAAAGGTAACTAGTTTTCATTCTACATTCTGTTATATCTTATTATCATAATCTCATAGTTGATAGAAGAAGCAGAACAAGATTATACAGAAGTCTTATCATAATTTGTGTACATCCTTTTCTTTTTCAGGTTCGCACCATCAAGGTAGGCCACCTCTTGTTGTGCAAGTGTAAACAACAATTGTAGGTTCTTTGGTTAGTTGTAGATGCCCTCTTTAGAAATCTTAACAGGTGTATATTGTGTATATTGAAGGTCATTACAGATTGACAATTATAACCTAAAAAATGATTTGCGATTAGGTGAGTAGTTTTTGTGTTTCATATAGATGTTTATGTTCTGTTGTATGAACTAACAGCTCTCCCATTTTTCTTAATAATATTTACCAAGATTTTTCTTTGGTATTTCTTGCCATCCCATGGAAGCTGAGCTAACTCAGTTGGTTAAGGGTGTGGATGTACACTCAGATCACCTAGGTTCAAGTCCTCGTCGAGGCGACTTTGGGTGCCTGTTTTCTTCTTAATATAAAGCCACCTAACTCCTCCTAGGTTGATCTAGTTTTTTTCTTGCCATCCCATTTGTTGTGCTTCTATAGTTGTCAATACAGTGCTTTAGGCTTTTCATATATATATTTTTAAATGAACCTTCACATTTTCCTTGGCCAACTTGAATTTCTTAACAAATGCAGAAGCTTCATTTCAGCTTTAGTTTATCTGCATTCAGTTTTAACAAATTATAGTTTCTATCAAGAAAGCAGATATATTTCATTGTTAAAAAAGCATGTAGTGCTTGTTGTTTCTTCACTTGTTGCACACCTGTTAATTCACCATGGAAGTCTTCAACTCTATATAGTTAGCCCATGCTGACAGGACATCACATATCTGGAAGCCTGCATAGAGAACCATACAAAATCTAATCTTTACATGGATCAAGTTGATTTTTGAGCCTGCCCAACAATGGAGTGCTACAAGATTGGAAGCTGATGAACATCCCTCAGCAGTGAAGTCTACAATAGGGTAATTCAAGCACTTAAAAACTACTCCCTCCGTTCCAAATTTTAAGGCATTTTGTCTTTTCTAAATTCATAGCCTTTGCTATGCACTTAGATATACATTATGTCTAGATACATATTAAAAACAATGTATCTAGAAAAGCCAAAATGTCTTATAATTTGGAATGGAGGGAGTAGATTTATTTTTTATAAGAATACTCTTTGGTTATGCGAGCATGCTGAGTGGCACATATGTTCCTAATATACTGGAATTTTATCTGTTGCAATTTAATATGTGAATGAAATGGATGGTTGACTATGCCAAATATCTGGTCTGGGTTCCATTCTCATGCAGCGACCTCTGTAAACAACCGATCCTCATCAGAGCTGGGGGAGGAATATACAATTACCTTTATCAGCTAAGATCATCATCTGATGAAGCTGGTCAAACGAAGTCCGAGGGAAGCAGTATACTTGGTAAATTTCAGATAACATGGCGTACAAACCTGGGTGAACCAGGCCGTTTGCAGACTCAAAACATTCATAGCACTGTTAGTGACATTCCTGCTTCTGATTTAATTATCTTATGTTTTGTGTTGAACTTTTCTGTTCTTAGTCACTGTGATATTGAGCCGGTTATCTTTTTGTTCCCTTATTACTGAATTGCTTCCATTACATTTAATATTTGCAACTCTTTTTTCTGGCAGCCGACTGCAAGCAAAGATGTTGATCTCCGTGCTGTGAAAGTTCCACCTATCATATATGTGGAAAGAGCATTTCTGGTAAACAATCCCGATTGGTATTTCTTCCAAGATTGGGCATACTATTACTATTGCTTAGATAGTCATCTCATGCAATTTCATGCATGATAAATTTACTTTGGCAACAATTTATTTTCCTTTACTGAGGGGATCCTTTTACTTTCAGATTTTTGTGTTCTTTACGAATTAAATTGGAAGATATCTATTTTTGTCTTCTCTTGTTCAGTGTTTTCAAGAAAATATTAGGTGGATAGGTCAGTGATGCCAGAATTCCTTTCTGGTCCGCTGTTCTAATGTAGCTACTAGCTAGATCCTCTTATGCTCTTAGCTTATCCTGTTATCTGGCTTCTTGTTGTATAGTTAATCCGATCTGAATAAATTTTCACATTAATATTTTCACAATTAATTGTCACTGTGCCTTACTTTACCTTCCAGAAGGCTAGCTATGCAGCAGGACATCAAGAATTCTTTTTCCTTCACTATTTTGCCCCTTTCAATTCATTCCACTTTTGCGTTTACTTGTATCGTCTTCTCATTTCCTTTTCATTACCACAAGGTTCTTAAGATGTTGGTGTTTGGCCTCATGGTCCCTGTATCCAATCCTGTTTTTGCTATTACTCCTATTTTTTGGATGAAACCACAGTTGTCTGCTTCCTATAGCAATATTGTTAGAGTGCAGTGGTGTATATATGTATTACAGCCTCTGCACTTGCCCTGGGTATTTACTGTTGTCTTGTTGAATCAGTTAGGAGTTTGTTATGGTTTGATTTGTATGGCAACCAACAATAATTACTGCAGGTCCATACATTGTCTTTGTTGGTTCTGTGCCATTTGAAGGAACTTGAAATAGTCCCCTTTTTGCATATCCATGACTTGTTTGCCCAATGAATGAGATGCATTTGCGCTATATGCGATCATTGTGTTAATTACTGCAGGTCCATACATTCTGTCTTGTTGCTTTTTTGCATTTCTACTGCTGTTGTCTAATGTACGCGAGTATCTTCAGGTCAATCTGTGCCTTACAAATCAAACGGACAAAACTGTGGGCCCTTTTGAAGTATTTCTAGCTCCAAGCATGTCGGGTGAAGATAGAGCTGTTCTAGTCAATGGACCACAGAAGTTGGTTGGTAGCTTCACTTGCATGTTATTTTATGCCTATCGTGGTATAAGGCTAGACTAGGCGGTGGTTGAACTCATTAGAACACAATGTAGGTGGGGTGTTCCAAGTTTAGCATTCTACTTATTTTTTGCATTTACTTAAACAATTGCCTTGTCATTTGTGTGTTCTAATATAAGCTGTAACATTGATATGGGTAATACATTTGTTTTTTTTATATAAAAGAAGGTAGTTTGACGGAGTTTTCTCCTTGGTCTCTTTCTTTGGGCTAGTGATGTTTTTTACACCCTCTATTCCCAATTATAAGTCATTTTGGCTTTTCTAGATACATAGCTTTTGTTCTTTGTTATGCACCTAGATACTACGCTATGTCAAGATACATAGCTTTTGGAACAGAGGGTGTACATAGGAGTACACAGTAAGTGCACCTTGTATAATAACTTGTTTCCCCCCAACTCTAATGATAACTATTTCACATTATTAAACTTGTTTCTCACAAGTTGTTACAAATAGTCAAAAGCCAAAAAGAATCATTATATTAGAGGACACTACCAGCTGATGGCAAGCTATTTGCTCCAGTGGGGCCATTTTTTCCCTGTGTTATATTGAACATAATGCTGGTAGCATCTTTTCTTATTTCTGCTTTAACTGTGCACAGATTTTACCTTTGGTGGAGGCTTTTGAGTCTATCAAATTTAATCTGGTGAGAAAGTCATCTGGACTCATAACTTATGTTCTGTACATATCTCCTGGCTTTTCAAAAATCAAATGTCTGCCAGTTTTTACATTGTATTTCAACAATTCCTGTGTTTATTAATAGTTTGGAAACTGATGGTATTTATGGATCAGTTAGGTGCTTACTGCAATTCAGAAGTCTAGATATTTAGAGCAGTTAGGTGACCATTTTTACCATCTTTGGAATACCCTTGGTGCAGAGCATGGTAGCCACCCAGCTAGGAGTGCAAAAGATTTCCAGAATTACAATGTACGCCGTTCAGGAAAAGAAGTACTATGAACCTTTGCCCGACATAGAGGTAAACATCTACTTTTCATCAAATCATGTTTATTCTGCTGAGCATTAACACATTAGCACTTTGGATTGTTAATTCTGCTGAGCATTGACACAATAGCACTTTGAATTGTTAAGTAGCAAGCGATCATATGAATTCACTTCCTGTTGTTTTTTCCCCTTTCCTTCCATGAATCTGCTGAAACCCTTCTGCGTGATTGTTTACATGCTGTCGCCTTTCAGATTTTTGTTGATGCAGAATAGCAACACCAAATGGGGACCCATTTGACAAACTGAAGATGCCTTTATGTCCTTTTCCTTGCCATGGGAGGTCTACATAGTTGACATAAAACACTGGCTGATGTAATATTGCTCACTGAACAACTGATACATGCGATTGTAATTAAATGCATATTGATATCAAATTGGCTTCTATCGGATGTCATGTAAGAGTTCCTTAGCGCCTCAGGATTTCGCTTGTACTCTTTCCAGACATTTAGTTTTAGTCATGCCATGCATTGCATTGCATGATCCTGCCATTCTGATAACTGCCTCTATGGGTGTAATTGGTTTCCTACGGGAGGTTTCCTGTATTAGGTCTTATGCAACATAAATTATATGCAATAATATGTTGGTGTTTGGTTGTCCTGCATATGCAAACACAAAGTAAGATTATTTTGGTTGGTTATATTGTCTTGCATGTGGTTACCTCCATGTTCTGGTATAGATGGGTGAGGTGAGAAAATACCCGACCTGTTCACTGCAGCATTTTCAATTCTAACAGTCTCTACTATAATGGACCAATACTAGGTCTCCTTAAAAAAACGTCCCTCCGCTGATAGCCTTTAACCACTGTGCATTTAGAAAAATACACACAGCAAATCATCTCCGTTAAAATCAAGCGCTCGTAAAACACCCACGTCAGATCCGATGGCCGACGGAAGAAGTTTGTTGCCAGGCTTCAAAAGCACCCGCATCCCGCACACGCGCCCTCCGCCCACGCACATGAGAACGCTCCCCACGCACACCATCGCGAGCAGGGATCGAAGTCTGGCCCGGGGTTCGATTCCCTGCCCCGCTCCCCTCACGCAGTCACGCCCCTTTTTTCTTTTGTTTTTCTTCCGCAGGCAGGGTTAGGAGAGGGCGGCGGCGGCTCCACGCACAGTAGCGCCCGCGCCTAGGGTCTGGGCGAAGGGCACGGCGGCTCCACGCGTCGGATGTACCTCCGCGACGCGCAGGCCTAGGCGCGGGGCAGCCGCCGGCCTTCGAGGAGGCGCCGTCGTCTTCGGCCACGGCAGCACAGGAGGCTGCCGCCGCCGCCGTCGTGTGTACCCCGACGGCCGCGCCTCCGCCGGCCGCTGCTGCCTGGTCGCGGCGCCGCCCCGCGGCACTCCACCGGCGCCATGAGTCCTTCTCGACGGCGCGCGTCCTGACCCTGCCTGGCTTCCCGTCGACGTCGTCTTGTCTGTTGCCTGCATCTCCCCTTCAGCCATGAGTGTCCATGAGGTATTGATCCTTCCCTCAATTTGCATATGGATGATTGAAGGCTTTTAATTAAGCCACAATTTTTGCATGGTTGCCTTCAGGTGGCTGAAGATCCACTCGAGCATGGCACCAGGTGTTTGAATAGGTATGCCGAAGATCCATCAAAGCTAACAGGGACACAACACCAATTCACCTGTTGAACATATACAAGGTCACGTCTTCCCTCCCCTCCTCTTCTTGTTTTTCTAGATTGGTTAATGATCCATCACGTGGATACAAGTTCATAAAAATGATTTGAAATGGATCAATTATAATCTGCACTCCATGTGTTTGATAAAATGTTTCTGAGAGTTTGGGAAATTATTTCCACGAATGCACCTTATTCCTTAAACAGCTATACAGAATTTATCATATATTTTCTATCCAGGTTTTTGTGGTTGTCTACACAAGAATCGATTACATGAATTGTATAAATGAGAATTTAGTTGCTTTCACATAATGTAGACTGCAGCCAATTTTATTTGCGAATTTAACCAGGTGCATAGAAATGTTTTAGTTTGCTGATTCTTCGGGTTCTTGTAGACTGAATTTATGTGTTGGGTTATCTGTTAATCAATGACAAGGTTGGCTTGGTGGTCTCAGTGAATATTGGTGTCATATATGGACAACAGGTAAAATCAGACCTTGCCATCAAACAATACTGCATAATTTTCATGTCAATGGTGAATTTTGGTTTTTACTCTGGATGCCTTTCAAAATCTATTTGTACAGGGCTCTCCATGTGAACAAGGACTCTATAAATGTTCATGCTGGCAGCAAAGTGGTCTCTTTCTTTGTCAAGGTTAGTGAGTTTGCTATTATTCCTGATGAGCTGTCATCTTTGGCATATCAAATGATGGAAACCAAGAAATGTATCATTGTTATCTATGGCTTTATTTTATTTTTTTTGAGGAAAACAGGAGGGGCATGCCCCTACTGTAAGGCTTTATTTGAGGCATTGAAAGTATCATTTCAAACAGGTAAAAATTTTACAAGGTCTTTCACTTGCAATATATGTATGATCAGGAAGCATAGTTAAAAAATGGTCTATCGCCAAGAGCTAACAAATGTTATCGTCATCTTCAGCAACATGGCACTTGTGAATTATGTGGCCAGCAAAAAGAAAATTGTTTTCATTCCATGAAAATATCATGTGTCCTCATGTTGTTGCTCTATAACAAGCATGACATAGTATTGTGCTCTACCTAACGTGAACATATGTTAGTCAGGGCCAAAATGGCTACTTCTGATCATCGATAGTATGTAATCGAGGTCATTCAAACTTACTCTTGCTCATTACAAAATTTTATCTTGTTTTCTATTTTACCGTAGCGTTAGCACGGTCATCATGGCACATTACTACGAAGCTTCAGGCCTAAGGGTGTAGCAACCAAGGCAGACACTTTTCACGTGCTGTCAGGAATGTGGAAGACCCCTGTCGAGAGGTGTTTTATGTGGTTTGGTGGATTTCAACCGTCAGAGATTCTGAAGGTTTATGGTCTCTCCTCACTTGTTCTTATTGCGTCAATGTGCTTTTGTCAAAGTTGATTCCCTGCTGTTCATCATAGCATAAATCTCATGCATATAAATATTAGACAGGTGAACAATATTTGAGGAGGGCTCTTTCAATTTGAGCTTGAAGTCCACCTGAACTACCTCATGCATATCAATTAACCATATTTTTGCTGGACTTGACTCTTGTTGGTAGATTGATTTTTTATGGTATATCAATTAATTTTTCTCTAATAATGATATCAATTAATTACTAGATCACCGGAGTGTGTGATTGGTTGACTTGTTAGTGTTTTAAATGGCATCTTGGAATTTTATTTTTTATAATTATGGATTGCAAACAAATTCTAGCGTACACTAGACATATTTTACCTTTTTTCGGTGCATCCTTGGGTGTTGTTGGCAGTTTCATATGTACATGCTTGTATATATAACTGAATAATGTTGTAACATTGCAGGGATGTTGAGGAAGCAGAAGCTGTAGCATGCTTGGAGGGGATTCAGTAGAAGCAGAAACAGAAGCTGTAGCATGCTCGAGTCTAACAGCTCGTGAGTTTTCTTTCTTTCTTTTTCTTTTGTTGACACATGCAAGTACAACCTGATCGCTCCTTGGTGGCATTGATCGCCCATGAGCTCAGCAGGAAGGCCGGTAGCTGCAAAGCTCAAAAATTGATAAGTTTGGAGTGGAGTGAAATAAAGTTGTGCATGAACATGTATGTTTGGCCAATATGTCATGGCAGAGACTGAGTATTGTTTTCAGCTTTGTGTCAAGAGTCTTGTTTTGTAATGATATTGTTGATTCCGTGATAATAAAGCTCTCTTTGGCAAAAAAGTGGGTGTCCTGTACTAATTTTGGGAATTTTTTTTTAAAACTAAGTAAGTAAGTATTGTGTAGGTAAACCATTTTTTTGTTGTGTGATTTGCATTACCAAATGTCACCGTAGCATTAGAACGGGTATTAGGTAAATTATTTTTTTGGTTGTGTGATTTGCATTACCAAATGTCACCGTAGCGTTAGCACGGGAATTATACTAGTACTTGGCAGAGGCCTGAAGAGCAGCCGCAGCTGCAGCGGCTGTAGCTTCAAGCTTGTTTGGTCTAACTAGTAAGACAATTGTTAGTTGTGTATTAGCTAACAATTACCTGGACCCTTTTGATCCAAAGTAGCTAATCATTGGCAACTAACTATTAGTTCTATAGGTCCAAATAAGATTTAATATATATTGGGTTAATGTGCTCCAAAAGGCCACAAATTCTGTAGCGTATGTAGTACGTAATATATAAAGGTACCCAACCTTGCAGAAGGGCACACAAGTACACGGCGCTATAATGTTCGTGCGAGTGCACCGGCCGATCCATCTGGCAAGCATCAACACTCAACAGTAGTGCGATCACTTGTGCTTATATACTCGTTCCTCATCGTCGTTAATTACGCACAACAGAAGCAGTAGTTAGTTAAATTACTTTCCTTTTAAGTAAATTAAATAAAACAGGTGCAGTTTTAGTTCAGTTTGAGCCACCATGCATATGCAAATGAAACACGCATATTAATTACGGCCACAGCCTATTAATTACGGCCACAGCCTAGTTATTAGTATGGAATTAGACCCCACTTCAACGGTGAAACGACCCAGAATGTGTGCGTATATATATTATTCTACCACGCAAGTGCATGCGCAGGTAGCAATGACAAACTGAGGGTATGTATCTGGCACTCCAGCGTAAAAACAACTTGATCGGACTGATCGATCTGAACCCGATCAGCGCCCTACTTAAGCCTATTTGGCATGGCTTCTCCAAAGAAGTCTTGACAAACGTTTTGTCGAAGGAGCCATTTTAAGTGAAAAATAGAGAAGCCGGAGTCATTTTGGAGGAACCTCTCAAGACGAGCCTTGCCAAACACCCCACGCTTAACTGTCATGGCGAATAGCATTACCACACTCAGGTATTGGGATGACCACAGTTCCGGGCGCGTCCTCTCAATAGTCAATACAGTCGCCTCGAGCCCTCGATCAATTCCGATGCGCTACCTCCGATCGATCCAGCTACACTGCAATGGAGCAGCAGCCAGCAGCTAAGAGGTAGTACTACTATTACTATCCGATCCATCTCCGAACGACGACGCGTAATGTACCATTCTAGGCTAACGGAAACGCAGCACTCTCCAATCGTCTTCCGTTGAGCACAGGTTTTTACTGACGGCTAAAAACCATCAGGAAAGACTTAAAACCGACAGGGGATTATATTACTGATGGGCCACCGTCAGGAATGCACCGACAGGAACAGCTCGACAGGAAAGACGAGTTTTCCCTGACGGCCAACCGACAGGAAACAATTCCTGACGGTAGTTCCTGAGGGCTTACGTGTGACCAGGTCAAAACCTGCTCCTGTCAGTGCAGCCGTCAGGAGTTCCCGTCAGGAAAATTTAACCGACAGGAATCCATTTGTTATCCCTGACATTTGAAGCCGCCAGGAAAAGCTACCAAGCAACCAGCACCTATAATACCCCAATATAATCCATATATGTGCACTATATAATGTCTATACATCCACTTGCAAATCACATTAGACGTTAAATTCAACACCAATAATCATTAGGAGCTAGCAATTGGATCACAAATTCACATATCAACCAATTCCAAATGGCACTTAAGCTCAGTACATATTCACTGTTCGCCACACTAGAAATAGCATGGTATCCCCTAAACCGATTTAAGAATACATGTTCACTACACTGCAAGTCCTAGTACTGACAGCTTCACAATATCTACATCATATTAACAACACAAACGAAGCAGCAACATTGTTTCCAGCATGGGTCGACCAAGTTACCTACAAGGAGTAGAGTTAGAATAATCAACTTGAATTGACTCAATTATCATGGGATACAATTTACAAACACATGTTGGAAGGGAAAAAAAATCTGTACTATTGTATTCGGCTGTAGAGCTGCTATACAGGTTGTTACTTGTATTAAACACTGCCATGAATGTCTAAATACCCAAACTATACTGCAATTCAAATATTTCTTCAAAAATGGTTCTTCAAGAGATGCATTCTTTGTACACATGCCATAAATAATCACGATATCTTCACAGCTGAGCTGCCTGTTAAACACAAAATGGTTGTAACTAGCTGCAGCAGGAAGCAAGTATAATAGTACATATTTGTTCAAGTAAACTTTTAGGCATGATGGTTTTTTTTTCATCTTGCAAGTAAACTATTCATTCAATTGCTTTTTTTTCCATCTTGCATAAGGCAACTTGCAAGATTAGTTAAGGACTGAAAGAACTTAAATTGTGTAGAACACCTTAAATTGCGTGCAACCACTGCATATTAGGCCAATCTCAATGGAGTTTCATCAGAGTTTCATGGGCATTAAATATGCTGTGGCACCATATTGATGAAGAGAGATGATAAAAGTTTCATGAGAGTAGAGAGAGTTTCATGGGGATGAAACTCTTTTGCACTGTTTCCAAAATATGGATGTATTGGAAACTGGGACATGAAACCTCCACTGAGACTGGCCTTAGAGAACATACAAGTTCAGATTACAACCAGATGCAGAATTAAAGAGCCACATATGCACAATTAAATGGTCAGTCCTATATAACCACTCCTAAATCGATCATAATCACTTGAAAAAACACATGCTTCAAACGTACTGCACCTGCTCATTTCATTGTGCATCAATATTCGCTACTTTCAGAATGGCTACTTGCGCAACTTATATTGCCTACAAGCAAAAGTTACAGTTATAACATTGCAGGACAATAATGTGTCAAAAAAATGTGTAGTTTACAAGACAGACACTTATTAAATTTGCAGAGAGAACATTAACAGGTCATGACAACTTAGCAAGTTCCTTCATGGTTGCACCTTGAATCTAATTCACGGTAAAAAAGGTATAAAAAAAAACTGCACAACATAGTAAATAAAATTCACAGCACGTTTAGTCTGGTAAAATCTCCAAAAGCAAAACCACTATGAACTAGCAGTCGTATTGAGAACACAATCCCTGAATATGGAAGACTAAAATAGCACCAACTTTTGGTAATTAAGGAACACTTTTACCATGTCAAAATTTAGCAAACACCAGATAGAATTTTTTTTGCTATTTGTAATTTGTCTTGAACTACAGGTTCACACGACCTAATTACAGGAAATGAGGAAGATGCATTTTTATACCTAGTACTTGAAGCCTCAGCTTGCTTGCTTCTTCCCTGGAAGTCAGAACATCGACACCTGCTGCTTGGCCAGTCGCAGAGTTTATACAAAGGCAAAATAAGTCAATTCAGTAAGAGCTATTGTTTTGACCTACTAGGCTACTACATGAGTTACACAAAACTGCATCAAGGTGATTTTTCTCTTTTATGTGACTGTCGTTTTTCTTTTAATCAATGAAACATTAGCTAAGTTACCACAAAAGTATACATGGAAAGAAACATCAGTCCAGATCTGAGAGGGAGATTGGGAGAGAGAAACAAGGCACCTTATACAGATCGGGAGGGGACCAGGCGGTGGCACAGGCGTCGGGGTGCCCTGGGGGCGAGGGCGTGGGGAGCCCCTTCGGGCCGCAACGGCGCTATCGTGGGGCCCTCGGGGCGGGGGCGGAGGCGGCCGGCGGCGCGAACGTGGGGGAGCAACCTCGGGACGGTGGCGGCGCGGGCGACGGAGATCTCCCTCGCGGCGGCGGCTACCGGCGGGGCTGGCTTGGGGGATCCGCCTCGGAGCGGCCGCGGTCAGCAGCGCTGGCGTGGGGAAGCTTCCTCGGGACGGTGGCGGCGCGGGCGTCGGAGATCCACCTCGAGGCGGCATCTGCCGAGGGTGCGGGGGGCGTGGGGGGTTCCCACGGAGCGGGGGCGGCGCGGGCGTCGAGATACCCTCGATGCGGTGGTGGCGTGGGCGTCAGGGAGGCGGCGGCGGCGGGCGAAATAGAATGGGGCAGGTGCGTGGATAGGGTTTGGCGATTTTAGCCCCGTTTGGCAGGGCTTCTCTAGCGGCTTCAGAGCCGCTTGGAGCCGTTTTATGCCAAACGGGATAAAATAAAACGGCTCCACCGATGAAGCCCCTAAAAACGTGCTCTCACAGAGCTTTGAGGTGGGAAGGAGCCAAAAATAGTGGCTTCTCCCGGCTCCTCCTCCAGGCCCCTAAAAACATGCTCTCACAGGGAAGCCATTTTGCCAAATGGTTTACCAAAACCGCTTCAGCTCCACTGGTGGAGCTGTTCGTGGAGCTGAAGCAAAAAAAAAAAGCTTTACTAGTGAAGTGAAGCTCTGCCAAACGGGGCCTTAGGTCTCCACGTGGGACCCACAGTAGCTTGGGTACGTCCAATTATTTCGCGAGACCCGCGCAGGAGAGGATTCCTGTCGGTTCGGATTCAGCCGTCAGGAGACATCTGTGTGTTCCTGACGGTTTGTGTGGTTCCTGTGGGTTTCGTAGAGCCGACAGGAGTATTTGGATCCATTCCTGACGGTTTTAAGAAACCGACATGACACTTTTTAAATTCCTGACGGTTTGTCCAAAGCCGACAGGAAAAACTTAAACCGACAGGAAAAACCTCTTCTCAAGTAGTAGAACGCGGCCACGCCGCACATTATATTACTACCGCTACCGGCCCGGCCCCCGTCCGTCGTCACCACCCACCATGCTGCATGCATGTGTCACGCATGCATTGCAATTGCATGCAGGCGTAGCTAGCAGAATTGCCAGAAATGTCAATGCAATGAAAGCTTTCACTGCATTTCAATTTCAAAGGCATGCACTGCACAGGCACAGCTAGCCGGCCAGCAGCGTCACCGTACCAGCATTCATCAACCGCGTCGATCGAGATCTGCGAGTGAAAAAAAAGAAATCCCGCCTTTCCTTCGTCTTCTCTCCATGGCTGGTGGCCCTAGCTCCATTCATATGCGTACTGCCGTACTCCTATGCATTGGGAGATTTAAATGGCGGTCACATGATGGCACGCAGTAAAGAGCAGCAGCAGCCAGCACCAGCAGGTAGGAGTACGTACGCCCCCCACCTACCGTCGCTGCTGCTGCCCTTGCTCCGTCCGTCCCTGGCTCCCTGCATGCGACCCGGCCGATGAGCTCGCTGCGCTGCGCCGCCTTCAATGCCCCCCCGCCCGCCTCCCCCTCCGCCGCTATAAAGCACCTGCCTCGCCACCTCTCTCTCCTCACGACCACACACCGCAGCAGCAGCGAGAGAGCAAGCAAGGCCACACACACCAGAGAGAGCAAGAGGAATGAAGCAGACAAGCAAGAAGTGAGCCCAGAGCTAGCTAGCGCGCGATGGCGAGGTCTTCTTCCAAGATGATGGTGGCGGCGGCGGTGGCGGCTCTGCTGGCCCTGGCCGTGGCGATGACCGCCGAGGCGAGGAACATCAAGACGACGACGACGACGGCGGCGGCGGCGGCGGAGAAGAAGGCAGACAACGACGCGGTAGTGCAGCCGCAGACCTTCCCGCCCTTCGACCGCCTCGGCGGCGGCGCGTCCCCGGCGTTCGGTGGCCTCCCCGGCGGCAGCAGCATCCCCGGGTTCAGCGTGCCCCTCTTCGGCGGCGGCTCCCCGGGCTTCAGCAGCTTCGGCGGCATGCCCGGCTCCCCCACCGCCGGCTCCGTCCCCGAGCACGCCAACAAGCCCTGAAGTCCGTCCGTTGCCGGAGGTCGGGCCAGCGTCGTAGTAGAGTGATGATGCTCTAGTACGTCGTCGTCGTCGTGCGTGTATGCATGCATGCGTGCGTGGTTGGTTGGTTGCATTGGTTTCCCCTAGCTACATATGAGCAGTTCTTGTGTTCTTCTAGCTATCTGTTCTAGTACTGCTTTTAGTTACCTGCATGCATTGGAGAGTTTTGGGTGTGTTTCATTTGGTGTTTGTGCTTTATTATTAGTTCTGTCTATGTGAGACATGGTGTTTAGCTGTTGGTGAGTGGTTGTAGTGGTGGTGGTGGTGATGTTCTCGAGGCATGAATATATAATGCTACATGTGATGTGATGTGTGTTGTGGTAAACCTGTTGTGTGCATGCTGCTTCTACTGTTGTATAAGCTATAGGCCTGTTCGGCTTCCCAGAAACCGGCTTGTTTTTTCGGCCGAAACAATAGTTTTTCTCTCACAACAATTCAGTCAGAACAGTACTTTTTTCAGCCAGTTTCAGTCAAGTTTCCACAAGCCGGGCCATACTGGCTTCTGTGGTCTTTGTTATGAAGTGTTCACATTATTAATTTGTCACTTCGTTCTTTGTTTGTTTTTTGGGACACAGATTCAAATTTGAAACTGACGCTTGGAAAAGCTTGCGAGAATACGGCCCTATTCGCTTATGCTGAAATTTAGCTTATGTTGATACTTATGCTAAAATATTGCAAGAGAAAAATACTATTCCATTGCTAAAAAATAGCTCAAGCGAACAGGACAGTACCTTTGAACTGCTCATGGTATTCAGCAACTAGCTACAGGTAATCAGCCTATTCGTTTCGGCTTATACGATCGTGGATTATAAGCTACAACAATATTTTTCTCTCACATCAAACCAACCAGTAGTATTTCTGGCTTATAATCCACGATCGTTTCAGCCGAAACGAACAGGCTGAATATTAATTCATTCTCTGTGAAAATTCTACGAGTTTTGAAATCTCTGAAAAAGGCTATTCCTCGTTCGAGAGGGACTTATGCCTTGTTTAGTTTCTCCTCTAAAGTTTAGCCCATATCACATCGTATGTTTGACACATGCTTAGAGTATTAAATATAGACTAAAAAATAACTACTTTGCGGGACGATTTTTTTAAGCCTAATTAGTCCATGATTTGATAATGCGGTGCTACAGCAAAGCTACGGTAAACGTATACTAATGATGAATTAATTAGGCTTAATAAATTCATCTCCCGAATTACTGAGGATTTCTGTAATTTATTTTATTATTACTATCCGAACACTCGACGTGACATCTTGAACTTTAGCCCCTGATTTAAACATCACCTTAGTAATAGACTAATAGCTAGCCTCTACTAAGACTGTCTCCAACGGAGCGAACCCAAATACGGGGCGCATTCGTTCGTATAGGGTCATGCACAGAGAAAAGCTAGCGCACCCAAAACTTCGCGTTTCCAACAACGGACGCAAAAGCTCCGGCGCCCTGGGCCGGAGCCGCCGCCGCCGCCAGACCGGAGCCCGTCCAGACGCAGCCGAGGGCCAACCACCATGACGCCGCCAGATCCAGCCGGAGCACCACCGAATTCGGCGAAGAGATGGCCTAGGCAGCCACGACTGCACGCGACCTCCGGTGACCCGCGCGGAGTCCAGTCGTCGGAAGTACTGCAGGGAGGCGAGCTCGGCCGCCACCACCAGATCCAGCCACCGGCGAACGGATCCAGCTGCCGAGCACGCGGATCCGTCCACATCTACCTCGCCCTGCACCACGGATGACGAGGAGGAGGACGCGGTGGAGCCGAAGAAGCCGCCGTCGTCGCACCTCCGCGCCGTTGGACCCGCAGCTACCGCCCACCTCAGCGCCGAACCGCCCGCAACCGCTATCGCCCACCACGCCGCTAACTTGCAAGGACGCCGGCAGGCTCCACCGGATCGGATCCGGCCACCACGTTGCGTCATGGCCGCCGCCGCCCACAGTGCCGCCGCCGCGCCACCGAGGAGCGCAGACCACAGATCCGCCCAGAGGGGCGGTGGATCCAGACCCCAAGGCCAAGGATCTGGCCGTGGCCACACCGGAACCAAGCCCGCCGGTCGGACCGCCGTCGCCCTCGCAGTAGCACGGACTGTCGGCCACAAGCTCTGGCGGCGGCAAGGCGATAGGGGAGATGGAGGGCCCTGGCGTGTCGGCGGAGCTCCTCTCTCTCTCTGCAGTGTTTTGTGTCGTCGTTCTCGACGACGCTTTTTTGTCTGCCGATTCCATTGCTACGCAAAATGGCTGCCTTCTTTGCGTGCTCCGTTGGAACGTGTTTCGGGGACGCAAAACACTGTGCACGACGTAATTTTAGGTTTGGGTCGCCGTTTGCCTACGCCGTTGGAGTCAGTCTAACGTACACAAGTTGGAAGCAAATGCACATCACATGCATGCACTGACATGCTACACCCGCCCACGAACGAAGCATCAAACAGCTGGATATTAGAGTTCAGGATAAACTAAAGAGAAACATTTCAAACGAAGAGAAGAAGGAAATAGAGTCAGTAAATTACGATCGAGCTTTTAAGTCACGGACATGTGTACTGCTGCAGCAATTTACTGCTCTAGGTGGTGCAGTTGCTGCCCTATGTCCTTGCATCCCATAAGGCCCTCAACAATGTATGTCTAAGTGATGCCCAAAAGAAGAGAGATGATTTTAGCACCGCTCCTCTCCACTGCAGCATGCGGCTCCAATTGCAAGCGACGCCGAGAAAACAGGGAGCAGAGCAAGTAGTTGCGCCGGTGCCCAAATCAATAAAAAACCAGTATTGTACTGTTGCTAGGGATGAAAACGGATCGGATATGAACGGATATTATTGATATTACATTTGTTTTCATATTTCTGTCTGGATTTGGATTCGAATACGGATAGTGTCAACCATGCCGGATATGATACGATTGGATATCGACATCATAAATATATGATTTGAGTATTCGGATACGGATATGATATCGGGTGTTGAATATCCGGACTCGGATACGGACAGATTTAAACCCCTCTAAACGAATTCGGTCTCAAATATTTTCACCCATAACTGTTGCTGTGAGACTGTAGCCAGCACTCTGTTGTTGTTATCAGATTGTTGATAGAAGATAAAGAACACGCTACTTTTTCTGGCATCACTTTTACACGCTGCAGCCCCAAACTCAACCTAGCATCACTGTGAGCTGGCATGCGTGAACAGTATCGGGTACCGCTCACACTGTGGAGGGCCTAACCACACCGTTGTCCTTGGAGACGAGATAAATCGATCCAACAACAAGCAGTAAAAACATTTGGTGTATTTCCCCACCTAGGTCTTGTTTGGAACGAAGATATTCAAAATGCATGAATAGAAAAAAAAAATACAGGAATAAGGTACGATGAAAAGTAGAAAGCTATGAGATTTTAAAACATAGGAATAGAAAATTTAGGTTGTTTGAAAACACAGAAATCCATAACGAATCATAATATGTTAGGCAAATATGAGTACTAATTATATTTTAGTGGTGAAAAATTAAGATAAACAAACTAAAGGTGATCTTGCATTCGGCATGCATGTGCTTATACTACACGAGCTGTGGGTCCCATAACTGATGCAGCACCTCAATTGTTATCCCGTCCTCTCTCTCTTTTTTTTTCTTGATATCCCGTCCTCTCTCTTTCTTTTTTCTTGAACGCAGACCTCTCTCGTTCTTTTCAGGCTCCTACACCATGGCTAGTCCTCATTCTTTTCTGCTCATCTTCATCTCTCTAGTTCTGCTCGCAGCAAATAGCAGTGAAGCTGAGCGCTGAGCTCAGGGGAGCAGGCACAGGTTCTTCTCGCCTTAGCCACTCTTTTTCTCTCCATTTCACACGTGCTACCTGGGGCTTCAGAATGGATTCTTTCGTTCCCGTAAAATTGCTTGCCTGCTACAGTATTCCAGAGGAACAGGTTTGCTAGATTCCTCCATTCCAAATGCTCGCATCAGGTTCCTTTCCTCCGTTTCTGATTCCTCCAAATTTCCTATGGTATTCCTTCAATCCAAACACACCCTAACCATCCCTTCACATGCTTGTACTTTCCAAATGCTCGATGGGATTTCTGTACCCGGCTCTCAAGACCCAACAACAACTGACTGACTGAGTTGATCAGCCCCAAATTGGCAGCATAAACCTGTAGCTTAACTAGCATTTTCAATAAAAAAAATAATTTTGCAACACCATCTAGCTGACCAGCAATTGATCCACAGACTAATAACTCCAGTTTTCTAAAAACATTTGCAATAGAATATTTTACCTTCATTGGCTGTATAAAAATTTGTTTAGCCAATCTTTGCCACAAACAAGAGCTCGAGGAGTTTGTGGTGTGTACTACGTATTCATCAAGCTTCAGTTGTCACTAGAATCCGAATGCACAACTGAAGCACATGAGCCAGAGTGCACGTCTCAGCTGAGCCACTACCGGACACAGGAGCTTTGCCGAGTGCCAGCCCCAAAACACTCGGCAAACCGTTTACCGAGTGTTACGCTCGGCAAACGACACTCGACAACTGGTTTATCGGCAAATGCTGTTTTGTCGAGTGTTTTTCGTCGGGCATTCGGCGAAGACTTTGCGAGTGCCCCAAAAACACTCGGCAAACATTTTTTGAAAAAAAAGCATCAGCCACCGGAGGAAGAAAGGGCGCCGCCGGATTCGGCCACCCCGCTCGTACCGGCGCTGGCCCACCACCGCCGCCACCGGATCTAGCCTCCCCGCGCCGCACCACCACCGGAGGGAGAGAGAAGAGAGGGTGCCGCCGGAGGAAGAAAGGGCGCCGCCGGATCCGGCCTCCCCGCGCCGCTCTGCCACCGGATCCGGCCTCCCCGTGTCGCGCCACCATCGGAGGGAGAGAGAAGAGAGGGCGCCGCAGGAGGGAGAAAGGGCACCACCAGAAGCTAGCAGGAGAGAGAAGAGAGGGCGCCACGTCTATTTATGCAGAAGGTGAAGAAGAGCTACAGGAAGTTAGCTCAAAAGCTGAGCTGCATGGACACTCCTTAGGTGGAACCGGCAGTCCCGGCACGGTCGGGTGGCACGTCTTCTGGCTTTTTGAGGACACCAGCCGGCTCTTCTCAGCCGGTGACAGGTGCCACTGCCGCAGTGCGTACACCACCACATCATAGTGCTGGGAAGGACCCTGCAACCGAGGACGATGACGACGACGACGACGACCCCCCGGGCTTCCGCAGACAGCACGACCAGTGGGACGATTGGTCGCAGGACGAGATCGGCATGTCTCAGCTAGGTGGTGCCCCGCTTGGTACCAAGGAGCCTCACAGGTACTAACAAAGATAGTTTCTTTAAATACGTAGGCTCTATGAACTAACGATCATAAAGATTATAAGTAATCGTGCATATCATATACTTGCAGGGTACGAGCCGTACGCACCGGCAACGCGACCACACCGATGTTGGCTACACTCCCAATGTGTTGCCAATAAATCCGAAGAGACAGAGGCGTCCGAGAGATCCTTACACTCCCGAGTCTTAGTTTGTTAGGTCGAACAAATATTGTCGTCCGAAACTTGCAGGCTTAGTTGGTTATGTTATGTCGAACCAATGAAAATGTTATGTGGCAGCTTGTCAACTTGCGCACGGACTTCATTTATTTGCTTCATATTCATTTCAATGCGTCGCGGCAGCACTGCCGGCGCGATTAACTAGGAACTAGTTCGGAAACCTCTCGGCGTATCTCGCCGCCGGTGGCCGGCGTCTTGACCCCGATCCTCCTGAGCTTGGTCATCGCTGACATGAAATCGCCAAAGAAGGCACCCTGGTTAGACGCGCAATAGTCGACCGTGCTGCGTGACCTCATGTCGGACTAGAGCACCTGGTCGGAGCCCACCGGCGAGGGGTCGAGGAAGCCGGGGTCCATGGTCGCGCCGCTGCCGAGCCTCATCGACAGCAGCCGATCTTTTGTCTGCGCCCAGGTCCTGCCGAGCCAAGATCGGTGGGGCGACAGACCCTGCTACGTCACCGGTTAGCAGCCCCGGTCGTCGCCACGTCATCCTCTTGTCACGCCACCATGCATGGCGCGGCACAAGTGTTTCGCCGCGCCATGGCAATAGACGCGGCCAAAAGTGTTAGTTTTGAAAAAAAAGAAACAGTGTTAGATTAAAATTAGTTTACAAAAAGTGTTAAAAATAAAAAATTGCCCGCCGTGATGCCGCCTGGTGGCGCAGAGAGCTGCTATGGCCTTGGTGCCATGACCCGCCGTCTTTGGGCGCGCGCGCCGACAACGACATCGATCAGGCTGCTGCTGCGGCTGGCCCTGCGCCGCCATTTAACGCGCGCGCACCGCCGCTCGTGCCGCTCTTCGACCGCGCTTCCTTACCTGCCGCCCCCGCCTCGGGGGACCGGTGTTCTTCGTCACCCACGACCGCGTCTCTTCTGCGTGGCCTCGACCTCCTCCACTTCTTCACCCGCGACGCCGCTTCGGTCGGCTGGACCTCTGAGCTCCACCGTCGTCGGTGGCGCCCCGCAGCAAAGAAGCGACGGCCGCGAGCGGCGCCGCCGCCGGCGCGTCGCCACGCCGCCGATACACCCGCATGACCTCGGCGGCGTGGCTCGACGCGGCCTGCGGCGGGAAGGCGCCGCGTTGGATCGAGTTCTGGAGCGACGTGGCATCTGACCGCCGCCGCGGCGACTCGTGCTCCTCAGAGGCGTCCACCGCATCGTCGCGGTCCTCCGACGGTCCACGAACCCGCACTGGGTTGACAGCTACCTTGACCGGCTGGGCCACGTCCTGAGGCAGGGTGGGTGGAGGGACACAGAGGTGACGAAGATGGTCGAGGTGGCGGCTTCCGAGGGGGGGGGGGGTTCGATGCTGGGTCGGGAACGGTTCTTATGGGCTGACCAGGTTGGGGGCGGACCCAAGTGGCTCAGGGGCACCGAATGTCCAAAACAAAATTGTCTCTTTTCAACCAGCTGAAACCGGCCTGCAGTGTCCTGTGGGTTGTGGCTTAATTTCAACGAACCGGAATGTCTTCTGACAAAATGCTCTAAAGTGAGTGTCCGTCAACAAATGACTATCACTTTGATGTCCAAGAGACAATTTCCTCTTTTTTTTATTGATTCAAGATAACAAAGTTTGAATTTTGAAATACGGGTGTATTATATTTTAAGACAGGGAAGTACAAAAATAGCTCGACGGCAGGAGCTGCAAGAAGCTGTAACCATGTCAAAAGGGCCCTATAGTATTATACATGATAAAAAGAAAGACACCATGGTAACGCTAAACACTTTCTTCAATAAAAAATATTAAAATTGAAAAGAGCAACGTATAGGTTCATGTGCAGGTAATAAACTAACAGCTGCGAATAATATAAGCAGCTCGCGCAAAACCAGGACATAATTTCAGGAGTGAAATATTCCGATTTTATATACTCCCTGTGGCTTCGCCTACAACTTATTAAAAAAAAGGGTTCCATTCAGTCAATCAAAACAATCATCTAAAAACCCTAATTAAATTAGGGCCCTGGTATACTTGCCAGGTAATGTACATGGAACAACATTGATCAGGCTGGCCAGTAACCGGGTGAAGCTTGTGATTCAGGAACTGCTCACATATCCATCGAGAATTTGACTATATCGTGAGATGGACGAGCTCAAGGAGCGCATAAAACACAAAGGGAGTTAACCAACTTTGTCCATTTTCTTTTAATCAGCTGCCATGAATGGGTCAACATCACCAAGATCAGCAATCAGGGGCTCCAAGTCTTCAGGCTCGCCTTCTTGCGTGAAATATGTAGGAAACGGGAGCAAAGCCGTGTCAGGTTTCTTGTATATAGAATCCTTGACAAAAACAAAGCTACCTTGAGGACCAGGAACCTGCCAAAGGGGCAACGAAAGATACATAGAACACTTAACTTCTATGATTGAACAAAATATGTTGTGACATCAGAAATCAAGTCACCTGGCCCTTCAGATATAGTAAGTTCCTGGCTGGGTCTATTTGGTAAACCCATACATTCTTCACTGTGCGTTGCACACCACCCATGCGTCCAGGCATTTTTCGGTTTTTGAAAACCTGAAATTTTCCAATTGTTATGTCATTACATGTGCAAGGCTGGCTGCTGCAGTACTGCTTTGTGCACACATTAGCGAGCTCCCATCATATTCCACCAATGGGCGCGAATGTAACAAAAAACTAATCCCTGCTATGGAATCAGTTTGTAGTTGGACTGTTTCTATCTGTCAATACTCAATACAATGATATGCAGTTCTCTTGTGTGTTGAAGGGGAAAAAAGTACACTCCTATGTCCTATCAAAACAATTTAAACCAAGTGCCTTCCTGCATGAGTTCATGGGCTGTGTTCGAGACAAAAAAAAAGTTCATGAGCTTTGTAATTGTAAACATTACATCTACATTTTTTCCAGTGAAGGCCCAGATCTGAACAAATAACATACTTCAGGAGGCAACCATGTACGATGATATCATTTAACAGACTCATTGTTCATACCAAGTAAAGAACATTGAGAACATACCAACAATACATAAGGTCTTATCATCTTAACTATTGAGGAACACAAAACAACCTGTGAGTAAATACTTAAAATCCATAGTTCATCTTGTTAAGAGGAAATGTAATTCATAGCAAAACCTTACTATTGCCTATCCTACGGAGAGTAAAATGACACTATTGCGAGAAGGGAGATGCATAACATTTTTTCAATACATAAATGTGATACTGTTATATAACGTACCCTTCCAGGAGCATCTCTTTGACCAGTAGAGCCACCACTGCGATGCGACTTAGATGCCCCATGTGATGCAGGCATCCCACTGAAATCATATTTTTTCATTACACCCTACGATTATGAAGGTTAAATTGTTAAACATTGACAATCAAGACATTATTACTGAGTTCTAGAAGAGAAAGTAACAATCAGCAGAGTCATATTACTTCTGTAATCGCAATGTTTTAATGAAGAATTGACCAGTTTTGCCGAGTTCTGTAACACTAGCACATTTCCCACAATAACACTAAGGATAACTATAGTTTCTAAGATGCACACTACTTTGGACATTATGGCATTTAATTCTCAGAAAAAATCAGTCAGAATATAATATTTGAAGAAGTGGAAATTTTCATTAACATCTTCATTATCTCATATAAAACGTCTGTGATTTGTAATTGGCACCGGTCAAATTTTAAGTTTTTAACACTACAGCACTCGGTTTGAATATTCCACCAATTGTAAGAATCACATACAGTGTTTGCCTTTATTATCAGAAAAGCTAACATATAAATTGCAAGAGAACAATTTTCATCAAATAAAAGTTTGAAATGGAGCAACTTAAATTCAGGGCATAAACTAGAAACTTCAGCATTACAAATATCTCTTGCACAATTCCCTCAGGATTCATTTCAACTAATCAAATAGAGGTGTTGCTGAAAGAAACACAAACTAAAACCCTGGTGATAGCTTAGCTGGTTTACAGTTACAGCAATATAGTGAACTGTCTTGATAAGTGAAATCACAGAAAATAGATTGGACACGAAGAATACATACCGCAAAACCTTTCCCCTTTGTGATTCCAGTGACATCAACAAGTTGTCCAGGCACAAAGTGGCGAACTGTGATGGTTGTGCCAACAGGAAGAAGCGCATCCTCAGTGACAGGAAATTCCCTTAGCTTTCTCTTCAGAGGCACTCCCTGTGCTCTAAAGTGGCCAACTTCAGGTTTTGTTAGGTGTTTTTCCTTCTTTTGACCTGCGCCAAGCTAACAAACACAAGAAGAATTTAGGAATTTAGCAAAACTTTTTTCTTTTGCAAAGTAAATATGAATGGAACAAACAAAGAAACAAATATATAAGTTAACCACTCTGCATTGCATTAGGTCAACTAAACAAAAAAATAAGGCAGGATACTTCTTACTAGTGTCTTATTCATGGTGCAAGTGTATGAGATGCTTTATGGTTAGTGGTTACTAAAACTTAGCTCCAGTAAATTGTCACAATTGACTTATGAACCCCTTAGCAGTAAAATTCATCAAGGGTTAAGTTGATACAATAACTTGCATTTACCGATTATGTTGCTGCAGAGGGTAAAATGGCACAAGAACAAAAGAAAATTCGACACCGACACACCAAAATAACTACCCTTGTACCCATTTATCTTCCTTAATTTTTTTATAGTTCTTTCTGCAGGCACTGCAGGAAGAGCCATAACCAGAACATTGCCGCATGAGTTTAGAAACATGGAAATTTCAAAAACAACCCCACGTCTCTCTTTGGTTTGGAATACCACCACAAAAAATGTTTTGTTACAAAGACCCACCACTACCCAACTCGGTTTTGTAGCAGAAACCATCCCACCAATATGCAACAAGCTGATTTCACCCGCTTTTTCTATCCTAGAGTGCCTGATGCATTCTTTGAAGTTAGATACTCTAAAAATACAAGCCCTGCATTTCGTTAAATCCATCGATTTATGCTATTTGCAAAATTCTTCACCACAACATGATCCAAGCACCAGAGCAAGCTTTACTCAGTTAGCATGGACTATAGTGGCTCCACACGGGCAAAGACAGGCGGAATCTGCTGAGCCTATGCTCTGTAGGATGGCTTTTGCAACAGAGTCAACTAGGGGCTAGGCATTTGCAACAAACGCCTTATGGGGGTGGAAATCAAAATACAAGTGAATGTGGGAAATATTGAGATATACTGTATCAAGAAGATATTATTGAACCCCAACAATACAACATCTCAGCCATTATCATCCAGGTTTAAGCGATATGATTGCTTTCGAGTCTAGCAAGTGAATCGAACCAGCAGCTGTTCAATACTTCATTTGTTTCGGTGGAACACGTTTCACAGAGAGAACTCAGGGAAATTTCGTGTAGCACACCTGTAGGGCGAAGAATCCCTCCTTCTCGGCGGTCTTGACCTGGGTAACAACGTTGTCGTCGACCCAGAGGACGGTGATGGGCACCTTGGCGCCCCACTTGTCCCACATCGCCGACATCCCGCACTTGACGCCGATCACGCCGGTGCGCCGCGATGTGGAGCCCATCACCCTGGCCCGCGCCTCGATGATCCGGCCCCCGCCGCCGCCCTCTCCCCCAGCGTCGTCGTCATCGGAATGGGAGACGAAGGCCTCCGCGGAGAAGAGCCGGGAAGGAGGGAAGGGGAGGCGCGGGCTCCAGCCGGCGTAGAGTGAGAGGCCGCGGAGGCGCGCGAGCAGGCCCCTCGAGGCGGCCGCCATGGTTGCGCCTGGGCGAGGGCGAGGAGGCGCGACGGCGAGATGGGTGCGGGCGGGGTTTACGCGGCGGCGCGGCGAGATGGGTGGGTGCTGCTGGGCAGTAGGGTTTACTGAGCTTGGAGCCCGCGAAGGGAATGAATGGCCCAATGGGGGCAAAGCGAGCACGAGCGCGGGCTCAATTACGAGTGGGCCTGAACTCTATTGGGGTTTCCGCTTTTACGATTTCTGTTCTGTTTTTGAGTGCTGCGTTACTCTATTGGGGTTTCCACTTTTACGATTTCTGTGTTTTGAGAGCTGCAACGCGAGAATCCAAATTCAACTAAAAACCAGACACATTACATGTAGAAATTGAGTTGCACCGATTTTTAAAGTTTTGAGGGCAAGTGACTAGAATAAAGAGAATACAAAAATTCGCTTCAGCATTTGTGACGCATAGCATCCCTCCTGGCTCCTATGAGGGCTATCACAAACAAATGCTAACTCTTCAGGATTTGTGTTGCATGATTCAACTGAGTCTTGAGTTTTTGTCAAAATGATGAACAAATGGATGTCTCAAAAAGGTTTAGTCCTTTAATTAGCTTATTAAAAAAAGACGTACCCAGTGCAGAGAGCTCCCGCTCTGTACGGGGTCTGAGGATGGGGGTTAGTGGCAAGCCTTACCCTCGCCTGTGCAATACGAAGAGACCGCGACTCAAACCCGGGACCTTCCGGTCACAGGCGGTAAGACTCTACCGCTTGCACCAGACCGGCCCTTCAATTAGCTTATCCTAAACTTTATATATGTAAAAATTAAAGAAAATGGAGGGAACATGACTTTTGTACACCGACAAAAGGCAATCAGAAACATAATCTCACATAGGTTCACCTAGCAAGTTCACTACTCTAAGGACTCCAAACAGTATAACTTCGTAGCAAAAAAACTGATGACTCAACCGGTAAAAGCAGGTCGGAAATAGATTTTACAAGGGGGTCGATTCATCTGACCATCACGGTGTCAACCATTCATTTCATGTGATCTGATCCTAGTGAAATCAGCTATCATAGCGATCATGAAGTCCAGGCATTATTTTATGCAAGGTTCATGATGAACAGCTTCAGGCTTCGTAGAACCGGAGCTCCACCATGGCCTCCTGAAGCTTGGGTGAATACCACGCTGTGGCCTTTGCTGAACCAAGGATCTTGAAAGCCCAATCAATTGCAAAGATTGGATCATCCACTCGAACAAAATGGTCCTGGCTTCTGGGGTCAATGGCAACAGAGGATTCAACCCGAAAACTCAAGGGCCCAACAATCTGCAGCAAGACAAGGAAGAGCTTTATTAAGACGAGATAAATTCCATATGATACCTTTCACACACAACAATCATCTTGTTTATTCTTATAATTTATTGATGGCAGGCAATCAGAGAGAAATGGCCAAAAGATAACAACTCCTAGTATGTTCTAAACTGATACCATCTGTTACTACCATTATCGTTGGCAATGCTGTACTCATCATAACAAATTTAGCCCCTGGCATTTCAGTAGATGGAATTTGTTCCTCAACAAGAGTAATCAGTGGCTCAAGTCATAAGCACTAGGATTTGCATCAAACTGTAACTAATAAACCATAGCCATAGTTTACATTATGGCACAGAAGATAAAGAGTCAGGGTGTTTGCGAATCTAAGCATAGCCTAGACTTCAAATAAGATTAAGCTCTCCTGCAAGGCAGTCATTAATATTATTAATATTTCCTGAACTATCGTGGTTAGTCCCAAGTACCTCAGTTTTTTTTCATTACTTTTGAGCACAATAGATTGAGATGTAAGCAGTAGCTACCAAAGTACCCATAGGAAAGAAGACAATACCCCAATCAGTGGTTAGAATTTCTAACAGGTATCAGAGAACAATGAAACGAAAAAAATGAATTACCTGTTGTTGAAGGGAAACAGTCACATCAGGACAAATATTGCAGAATGTCTCCACATCAGGTCTTCTAGAGAAGAAGAAATCTTGTGCAAGGCGAGAAGCACCACATAAGAACAAGGAGCCAGAGGTGATATCAAATCGGGCACTTGCCCTAGTCAAATCCAGAAAAAGCCTCTGAAAATTCCCATATTGAGCAGTGAAAGCAACAGAAGCAAAGAGGCCTGCAAAGGCAGCACATTTATTCCTTTCATCAAACATTCTAAAAGTATTACTCTTTTGTGTTTCATCTCGTATAGCCACTCTCCTTGAATAGTTTCCCAAATATCCACTGGCTACTGCACCTGAATAAAGGAAACGAAGGAAACTTGAGAAACATTGCTGATTACCTATAAATCCAATACAGTGCTACTAAACTGATAACCATTTCACATAGCGATGCAGAGACGCACTAAATGTCAGCACCAACGGAAAACTAGGCAGTAATAAAGCATATAGGTAAATCAAGCCGTTCATGATACTGTATACCAGCATCTATATGAAGTGAAAGATATTATTGGCTTCCAACAACAAAATTTTGAAAAGGCGCTAGGCACTGGTTGAGTGGCAAAGTGTCGGGCTACTTGGACCCCTAGGCAGTCTAGGAAGCAATTAGACACTAGGCTTGAGTGAGGTGTCTAGTACAGTAGTACCTAGGTGCCACCTAACCACCTAGGTGAGGGCTAGGTATCCGATTTTTTATACAGTGACCTCAGCAATGGGAAACAGAAGGACTAAGTTACGATCAGGTTACACTCTGGATATCCAGGAAATGAATGGTGTATCAATGAAAAGGTTTCTGAAGCAGTTTGAGGGGCAGCAACAGAACCTCCAAAGTCCAAGCAAGTGGACATACCCAGTGCAGAGAGCTCCCGCTCTGTGCGGGGTCTGGGGAAGGGTGTCAGTGGCAAGCCTTACCCTCGCCTGAGCAAGTAGATGCAAGGAATTTTTATTAAAAGGAGTATCAACAACAAATGGAAAGTGGACACTTACCAACGATACCAGTAAGAGAAACATGTGAATCCGAGAGCAATATATCATATGGCTGAACGTTTTTTAGCTTATCTTTTTTCCCCTCCAAGCATCAATGCTTTTCTTGATGGAAATAGCCACTTTAGCACATAGGCCAGGTAGCAGAGCAATAGGAACATCATCTGTTTCATCACCACCAAAACATTTTGGTTCACCACTATTCTGCCGCAATAATAGATGATAACTCAACCCAGAACTGGAGCCAACTGAAGCAAGGTCAGCCGATAATGACAATGGCACATCCCAATATGCTCCCTTTTTATCAACAAATAATCCAGGCCAAGATGCTTGGAGTGTAATATTATGATGAGGAAGCTGCAATAGGTAAAGAGGTGTCCTTTAATCCAAGCATTTAGAACAGTAACAACATAAACTAGTTAAGTAAACTAAACATTCCCAAACGAGAAAAGAAAGAAAAAAAACAGGATAAAACTTCCACAAACCATTATCAACAGCTAGGTGCTCTGATCTATACTGAAACGGAACGTGATTTATTGAGAAACGTAGTGCAAGCAACAAGAATACCCACAAATAACTAACTGTATACCAAATAGGTTAAGAGCGTCCAGATTTTTTGCCTCGTGGTGAAACATCGCTTTTCCTCGATTGCCTTTCTTGATATCAAATAACTCCAGCAGCAAAGTGGTGTCTGGTGTGATCAAGATTTCCGTGCCTACACCTAGAGACATAACATCATGCAAGTGTTTCTTCAAGTATACCAAATAGGTTAAGAGCGTCCAGATTTTTTGCCTCGTGGTGAAACATCGCTTTTCCTCGATTGCCTTTCTTGATATCAAATAACTCCAGCAGCAAAGTGGTGTCTGGTGTGATCAAGATTTCCGTGCCTACACCTAGAGACATAACATCATGCAAGTGTTTCTTCAAATCTTTGGTCCAAGAGGCCTCTTCCTGTCGATTTGCTAATTTCTCTTTCACGACAGACACAAGCTTGTTAACATTGATTTTCTCCAAGATGGTAGAAGACCTCAACATATCACAACAGATTGACTGTTAACATGAGTTTGGTGAGAAACTTGTTGAACATTAAGTATAACCTCTACTAGATATCTACATTGGGCAGGCTATTTAGTCCATTAAATTAACCAAGGAGAAACAAAAAACTGGACAGTACTCTACTCCTCTCCCTCTCAGCGGGCAATGCTATACATAACAAACAAGAGACAGAAATGATAACCCATTTCAGGTCACTTAAAATCAAGTAATAATCAAATCAACTCGCATTTCATCAACTGAGATATCAATACTAACGAATATTGATAATGATCCAAAATTAACCAATTTAAATTCATACATGTATCAAATCCAGGGTTATCTCAATCACACTATGCACACCAAGCCTACAGTATAGGGTTGGCGCCTGACGCTACAAGATTGCAAGCAAAACATTGAGTGCCTCCCAACCGCAACATCCTAGGAGCAGCGGTACAAATATGTAATGTGTCTGGTTCGTTACCGTACCAGTTGTCCGTGATGTAGAGGATGTGGGCGTGGTTGACAGAGAGGCCGTCGCGGGTGGCGGAGAAAGTGGGGACCAGAGGGGACGCCATGAAGCCGTGGAAGAAGTCGAGCTGCTTGGGGCGGGTGACGCGGTAGCCCCGTGAGAGCCCCAGCGGCAGGGGGTCCCCCGGGACGGGGCGCACCGTGCCCTCCATCGTCACCGGGGTCTCCGCGTCCAGCTCCCACCGCCCGTCCTCGTCCGACATCCATCGCATCCGCCGCAGCGACATCGGCGCCGGGCGGCGCTTTTTTTGAGCTGGTGGTCCTTCCAATTTCGCGTCGGCCGTCGGCGTCGGGGTGTGCACGCACAGTTGGTGGGCAAGGAGCCGGATAGGGACCTAGCCGCCTAGGTTAGACTGTCTTCAACAAATTACCCTGCGAACCAAAACCCAAAATAGACAGTAAGAACAGCTCCAATTTTTTTTTTTAAATATAACTCCCAAAACCCTGTATTGGGGGCTCTCTTAGATAATTATTTTTTAAAAACTAGTTTCCTCCACAACAGCTCTCTAATATTTTGCACCCAAAAATATTTTGAACTTGTCACATCGTCAATTAGTTGGATGACGACGGGGCTAGAAACAGAATTAGTTAGATTCTGACTTTTTCGTGCTTGACTTCTTTCGTCGGCAAGCTGTTCCTTCCTCTGTAGCTCCTGGAGTCTTACTTTTTCTGTCCGCTCATCCTTCCTGGTACGGTGACTCCAGGTCTCCAACCTTGCAATGCATGTACGAGGGCAGGCTGATCTCCAGATATGATAGCGCCGTCATCAGGCTTATGCTCATCGCCATCGCCTGTGTCCTTGCCTGTTCTCTGCTAGCGCTCCTCCTCTTGTCGACTTGTTACGACACCACAAAGATCTTCTATAATATTGTCTAATTCCAGTTCGAGATAAGAAAAAAGATCTGCCATGGATCAACATAGCTTTCTCATAAACCAGGTGTTAGATGATTCATCGTCGTCAGGTGATGATGATGATTTCTTTTTTGATGTCGTACATGCGGTAATTGATGATGATGAGGTTGATGAAGAACCAAAACATTGCGGTTCTGTTCATGGGCATCGAGTGCTTCAGCGCGATAGACAAGTAGGACATCAGAGGCTATACCAAGATTATTTCGCCGATGATCCAACGTACGTGCCAAATTATTTCAGATGAAGGTATGCCATGAAACACATTTTGTAGAAAAGATGCTTATATATGTGTGTCTAATTATTTTATAGTGCAGGTTTCGAATGGGTCGTACGATGTTTCTGCTCATACTGCGAGCTGTAGAACAACACGATGAATATTTTGTGCAAAAAAGAATGCTACCGGTATACTTGGTCTGTCTATCTTGCAGAAGATTACAACAACATTTCGGATGTTAGCTTATGGAGTAGTAGCTGATGCTATGGATGATTATGTTCGTATTAGTGAGAGTACTGTGATTGAAAGTCTCAGAAGGTTTGTCGCTGCTGTTGTTGAAGTTTTTGAAGACGAGTACTTGAGATCGCCTAATGAAGATGATACCGCTAGATTACTTGCAATTGGAGAAAGAAGATGTTTTCCTGGTATGCTTGGGTCCATAGATTGTATGCACTGGAGGTGGAAAAATTGTCCTTATGAATGGCAAGGTATGTATGAAGGGCATGTGCATGAGCCTACAATTATATTAGAAGCTGTTGCTTCAAAAGATCTATGGATTTGGCATGCTTTCTGTCGGTACAGAAAGTGACCAACTAGTGAATATTTGTAATTTTGCTGTACGTTGTGATCGGAGGTGGCCTAGCACTCAATGACACATGATTTATACTGGTTCAGGCAACATGCCCTACGTCCAGTGTGGGTCGGTCGGTGACTTTATTTCTGAGCCTAGGTGCTCAAAGTCTGTAGTGGTGTTACAAACGAGAAGGAGAAAGGAGGGGTGTACGAGAGGCCCGGTCGGGTCCGACCGGAAGGGCCGAGGGCGACCGGAACTCCGCTATGAGCTAGGAGTCTAAGCGTGTGCTTGAGGGGTTGTGAGCTATCTATCTAGTGAATCTGAACTTGAAGAAGTCGACCTCCTCGTTGGAGAGAGCGCATCCCCTTTTATAGAAGAAGGGGATGGCTTTACAGGTGAGAGGGAGAGAGTACGGATGTTACTAAGCCTTGTTGCCCACGCCGATGAGGACAGTGATGATGGTAGGTGTCCACAATACTGTTGATGTCACTGTAGAATATCAGGTGCATAGGGGAGTTTGCGTTGTCTTCTTCAGGAAGAGTAGATGTCGTTACCTGCAAAATACTATTGGTGTGTGAGGAGTCCTACGACGTGTATCAGGTATTGTGAATCCTGGCGCCCACCATCGATGCCTAGAGGCATGTGGGGGCCTTTTGCCTTACGGGAGTCCGACGGCGCCTACAATACTACAGACACAAATGTCGACGCCTATAATACTGTTTGTGTTAGGACGGTTGTGGAGCACTGTTCCCGCAGGCGTACAGGGTATAGTCCTGGTATGGTGGTTTGACTTTGTGCGCTGCCTTCTCCATTCGCCCATGGTCCCTTCCGAGCGGGCGTCCCCGGTCGGATGGCCCCAGTCGGCCCTGGCCGCGCTAGTCGGAGAAGAGCGGTAAGCAGTCTTCCTACGGGGTCTCCGGTCGGAGACGTGGGGTCAGAGTAGGAAGCAGCGTTTTGGGCCAGGCCTTTCCGATCGGAGAGACCGCCCGGAGGCGGCTGGTGTCTGAAGCGAGTGCTCCGGCGCTCCGGTCGGAGAGGTGGGCCGAAGCAGTTGACGAGCGGGTGTTTGTTCCTTTGGGCAGACCTTCCGGTCGGCGACCGGACTGTCCTTCCGGCCCGTTTGCGTTTTTGAGTTTTGGGCCGGCCCATGAACTACATGTTGTTTTCCTAGGCCGAGCCCTGGCGTGGAAGCCGGTCCCCGAGGGACCCCGGGTTTATGAACCTGATAGGAGCCCCGAGCCCCCAAGCGATTTGAGTAGAATCGTCCGGGGGATTTTGCGTCTTGCCGGCGGGTGCGCGCGAGCGCACCCACGGGTGTAGCCCCCGAGCCCCCGGGCGGTTTCGGGCAGAACCGGCTGGGGGGCTTTCTGTTTTGCTAGTGGGGAAGTTTTTCACGTCGTGTCGGCGGGTGCGCGCATGCGCACCCACGGGTGTAGCCCCCGAGCCCCCGGGTGGTTCGGGTAGAACTGTCTGGGGGGTGTTATTTCAGCGGGCGTGCGTGTGTTTTTTAGTTTGAGACGGAACTTTGTTTAACCATGGCGTCGTTTGTGCAGCCGAGGGGATTTTTAGGCGTGGGGATGAGACAGAACTTACTGATCCCGACGTCGGTGCGCGCCGTGGATTGGGTGAGAAGGTTAGTTCAGGACAAACCCTGGCGTCGATGCGCGCCACGGATGGAGATAACTCGGTTCGGATGCGACAGTGCTCACCGATCTTTGGCGTCGATGCGCGCCGTGGGAAGGGTCGAGGTAGAGTCACGAGCGGACCCAGGCGTCGGTGCGCGCCGTGGATTGAAAGTTAGTTTAGTTAGTTTGGGAATCGGTCGAGCCAGAGCTCCATAGCCGTATGACGTGAGTTCGGGGTCGCGGTCCAAGAGTTTGGAGCCCAGTCGGAAGCGGAGCCGTTTACGCGAGTTTAGGAGTCGCGGTCCTAGGATTTATTGGAGCGCAGTCGGAAGTGAAGCCGTTACGCGAGTTTAGGAGTCGCGGTCCCAGGTTTATTAGAGTGCAGTCGGAAGTGAAGCCGTTACGCGAGTTTTAGGAGTCGCGGTCCCAAGTTTTATTGGAGCGCAGTTGGAAGTGAAGCCGTTACGCGAGTTTAGGAGTCGCGGTCCCAGGTTTTATTGGAGCTCAGTCGAAAGTGAAGCTATTTTGAAGCCAAAGCGTAGTTAGTTTGGTTAAAGTTCGGACGAGGCGATGCTTGCAGATCCTGGCGTCGGTGCGCGCCGCGGGACCGGGCGAGTCGGAGTCGTGGATCTGGCGAGTTTGAGGTCGTCGTCCTTGGCGTTTGTCTTGAGCCCCCGAGCCCTATCGGGCGTTCATGGGGGTCGATGTGAGTATTGTGTGTTACCCCATCCTCGGTTCCTCACAACCGGAGGGGCTGAGTTTCGTAGCCTGTCCTGATCGCTCGGGCTCAAAGACTAGCTCGGTGAGTTCGCTAACGGGTGTGATCAAGTGGAATCCGGGTCCATCGTTCGTGACGGGGTCGACATAGCCCTCTTGTGACATTCCACTACTCCTTTACCTACAACCCGGCAGATGCCTAGGTCGTTCCGGAGACCGACCCGGGTGGCCTAACGGCCTCCCCTCGATGGAGATTTTGTGGGCCTGGCGAGAGGTTTAGGATCGAACGAGAAGGTTGAGATGACCCGGTCTGCCGGACCAGGCGAGGGCCGCACGGTGCTCATCTATGGTTTTCTCCCCTGGCTCTATTGGTTGCCCATGTCGAATGAGGCAACCACCGCTTCGTGACACAACACGGAGCGTTCTGGTGCATTTCGCTGCACGTGCGATGCTTAGTTCCTGAGCCCCTGGGCGATTCAGGGCCTGAATCGTCCGAGAGGCGCGGGCGTATGAAATGAATGCGCGTATGGATGTATGAATGATTTATAAAGAAATATAGGGGGTTTTGGTAATGTTTACCTTGATGACTGGAGTGACGGGGCTCGGAGAGCTTCAGTCGAAAACGTCCGACTGGGACCCGTGCTCGTCGTTCGTGACGGAGTCGGCATGGCCTACATGGGGCGTCCCTTCGCTTCCTACCTGTGTCTCGGTGTTTATCCTGAGCGATTCGATCGGCTCAGGGGATCGGTTGGTCTCCCGGCGGAGATTTCGTTTTTTGGTCTCCCCAGGCCTGGCCTGGGGAAGTGGAGAGCTGCCTGCTCGTGGTGACGCTTCAGTTTTCATGCCCAGTCGTGCGGTAGTGGTGGGCCATACCCAAGCCACGTTTCGCCTTGCTAGGTGATGTTCCGTCTGACCCGACGTTGCTCCGTCAGTCAGTGTGCGTCCCTTCGGCCAGGGCGTGTCCCGTCGTTTCCCATCCGCATTGAATGGGGGCAGAGTTTTGCGCTCTGATCGTCTACTTTTCTTCTTTAAATAGGGGGAGGGAGAGGGTTCTCCGTCACAGTCCTTTGCCTGTTCTCCAACTATTGTCTCTCTTTCTTCTTCCTTCTCACCGAGAGTGCCTGTATGCCACGGTGGTTCCTAAGTGAGAGAGAGAGTGAGCGAGGGGGAGGACATACAGATCCTTTTGTGAACCCAGAGCGTGATGTCGGACTAGAGGTGATGCTGGATCTGATCTACGAGGCCTTCTTCGAGATGGAGCCGTGTGTAGACTCTCTGGTGGATCTTTACCGGGCGAGCCTCGTCGGAGGGGAGGTTGCTCACGATTGTGCCGGTGGAGGGTTCCATGCCTACAGCTGCTCAAGTCGGCCAGTTCATAAAGTTTGATGAGATTTCTTCCAGCCATGGCGACCATACCTCAGTAGCGGCGCCCCACCCAGGAGCTGCCTTGATTGCATGAGAAGGTCAGGAGCTCCATGTTCTTCTGCTGAGCATCTATAGGTGCGACGCCCTTGAGGTACCTGTTGCGTTTTGCCAAAGTTTTGAAGGAGCGGAACCGAGTGATTTCTGGCATTCAGGCGAAGTCGTCGAGTGCCCACAGTAGTATTTGTAGTAGCAGAAAATGTAATAGTTAAGTTTTTGTGGGTAAGTCCCCATGTAAATAGTTTCTTTGTATCAATGAATACAACCGCACTGCCCCTGTGACGAAACCACTGTATATGTTTCCTTGTTTTTGTCCTAGCATAACCTTTGTTTTTATCCTTTCTTTCTCGTACGTGCCCGTTTATCCCGTAGGGTGCAATCTTGGGAGCCCGGGGCGTGGCCCGCGAGGCTCGGTTGCTCGTATCCGTAGGGAAAGGCGGGGTGCGTTCGGTTTGGGAGTAAGAACAGGGTTACGTAGGGTAATCAAAGGAATGGAATGTGTTTCCGTTTGGGGAGAAAGTTGTATACCATGTGATAGTAAAGAGAAAGAGAGGTAATACTTAGTATTTGTACACTTATGGAGCCCCCGAGCCACCCGGGTTGAAAGTGTTTGGGCGGGGGCGCTCTTACAGGAGCATGTGTTTTAACCGAAAGTGTTTAGACCAAATTTAAGGGAAAAACGACGTAGCTGTTCAATGTTCCAAGTGTTGTTGAGAACATTGCCGTTGTTGTCCTCTAGTCGGTAGGTGCCCGGTCGGATTACTTCGGTTACCATATAGGGTCCTTCCCAGGGTGGAGAGAGCTTGTGTTTTTTCTTCGTCGATTGGGTCCTTCGGAGCACGAGATCAGCCGACTTCGAGTATCCTTCCTCTGATCTTCCTTTTGTGGTACCTGCGTAGGGTTTGTTGATAGCGAGCGGAGCGGATGACTGTTGTCTTGCGGGCCTCATCGAGAAGGTCGACTGCATCTTGTTGAGTCTCCACGGCTCGGTCGCGGTCGAAAGCTTTTACTCTTGGTGCACCGTGGTTGAGGTCGGAGGGCAACACGACTTAGTGGGGTTTGAGCAGAGAGTTTGCTCGGAATGAAGCACAGATGTCGCGCCGTTGAGGTCGCGCGTCCCGGAGTCGATGGAGGACGTCTCTTCGACGGGTGCCGGGTCGCGAGTCTCCTCGCGGAGGTGGAGTACACCGAGCTGGTCGGCGATGAAGTCTAGGCTTTCGAAGAGGAAGGCCTGGGATGGCTCGAAAATGAGTGGAACCCGCATCCCCGTAGGCGAGAGTGCGGGATACTCTAGCGAGCCAAAGCGAATCGTGTTGCCCGAGCCCGCCACGGTGGGGGTGGCGGAAAAATGGGCCATCTGATGACCAAAAAGTGTTGAACGTACAACGTCTTCCCCATGGACGGCACCAACTGTCGGTACAGAAAGTGACCAACTAGTGAATATTTGTAGTTTTGCTGTACGTTGTGATCGGAGGTGGCCTAGCACTCAATAACATATGATTTATACTAGTTCAGGCAACGTGCCCTACGTCCAGTGTGGGTCGGTCGGTGACTTTATTCCTAAGCCCAGGTGCTCGAAGTCTATAGTGGGGTTACAAACGAGAAGGAGAAAGGAGGGGTGTATGAGAGGCCCGGTCGGGTCCGACCGGAAGGGCCGAGGGCGACCGGAACTCCGCTCTGAGCTAGGAGTCTAAGCGTGTGCTTGAGGGGTTGTGAGCTATCGATCTAGTGAATCTAAACTTGAAGAAGTCGACCTCCTCATTGGAGGGAGCGCATCCCCTTTTATAGAAGAAGGGGATGGCTTTACAGGTGAGAGGGAGAGAGTACGGATGTTACTAAGCCTTGTTGCCCACGCCGATGAGGACAATGATGATGATAGGTGCCCACAATACTGTTGATGTCACTGTATAATGTCGTGTGCAGGGGAGTTTGTGTTGTCTTCTTCAGGAAGGGTAGATGTCGGTACCTGCAAAATACTATTGGTGTGTGAGGAGTCCTACGACGTGTATCAGGTATGGTGAATCCTGGCGCCCACTATCGATGCCTAGAGGCATGTGGGGGCTTTTGCCATACGGGAGTCCGACGGCGCCTACAATACTACAGACACAAATGTCGGCGCCTACAATACTGTTTGTGTTAGGACGGTTGTGGAGCACTGTTCCCGTAGGCGTACAGGGTATGGTCCTGGTATGGTGGTTGGACTTTGTGTGCTGCCTTCTCCATTCGCCCCTGGTCCCTTCCGAGCGGGCGTCCCCGGTCGGATGGCCTCAGTCGGCCCTGGCCGCGCCAGTCGGAGAAGAGTGGTAAGCAGTCTTCCTACGGGGTCTTCGGTCGAAGATGTGGGGTCGGAGTAGGAAGCAACATTTTGGGCCAGGCCTTTTCGATCGGAGAGACCGCCCGGAGGCGGCTGGTGTCTGAAGCGAGTGCTCTGGCGCTCCGGTCGGAGAGGTGGGCTGAAGCAGTTGACGAGCGAGTGTTTGTTCCTTTGGGCAGACCTTCCGATCGGCGACCGGACTATCCTTCTGGCCCGTTTGCGTTTTTGACTTTTGGGCTGGCCCATGAACTACATGCTGTTTTCCTAGGCCGAGCCCTGGCGTGGAAGCTGGTCCCCGAGGGACCCCGGGTTTATGAACCCAACACTTTCTTTGGGATGCCAGGTTCACACAATGACATCAACGTTTTGCAACGGTCAACTCTATTTGCAAGGCTAGCTGAAGGTCAAGCTCCAGAGGTCAACTATACCATTAATGGCCATGATTATACAATGGGTTATTATCTTGCAGATGGCGTATATCCTTCATGGGCCACATTCGTAAAGACCATACCCAAGCCATAAGGTAATAAGAAGAAATATTTTGCCCTAGCCCTGGAATCTTGTAGGAAGGATGTTGAACGAGCCTTTGGAGTTCTACAAGCTCGTTTTGCTATCGTTCGAGGGCCAACTCATTTTTGGGATGATGATACGCTTAGCCTAATCACGAGGGCTTGTGTTATTATGCACAACATGATAATTGAGGATGAGCGAGATGAAGAAGATGATTTCAATTATGATGTGGTGGGAGAAAATGTGAAAAGTTCTAATGATTCTACACCTAAACTTGAGGAGTTTATTCAGAACTACAAGAATATTAAGGATCAATAAATTCATACGCAGCTTAAAGATGATCTAGTTGAGCACCTTTGGCAAAATCATCGGACCTATATAAACAAATTTAATTGTTTTTCTATATATGGTTTTAGTTTACTGTTTTGTAGAATAATTTTAATTACAAAATTATTGTGGACATAATTTTTGTAATTATGCTTTGTCATATTTTCCTTCATCTATTGTTGTCATATTTGCTTCATATTTATTATTGGGAATATTTAAGATTCACAGAAGCCTGAATCATATTTGGATCATATATTTTTGTGCACATAGTTCTGAACTTACACATGTATGCTGATAGAAAGCACATAGTACTGACACTTACACATGTATGCTGATAGAAATCACATAGTACTGACACTTACACATGTATGCTGATAGAAAGCACATAGTTCTGACACTTACATATGTATGCTGTACAATGCAAGGTTTGATTCAAACATGAAAAGGAACTAAAATTAAAATCTTTAGCTACCGCGGTGACGGCTCATGATCTTGGATCGACAGGACATGTAGTACTGCTGCTGATCATCAGGCATGGCACTAAGGTCCATTGTCATAATCCTCTCTTCGTCCTTCTTGTTCTTCAACTCTACCTCCTACGCCCTCAATTCTAACTCTTTCTTCCTCAACTCAAGATTTAATTTCTCATTCGCAACCCGCTCTTGTTCAAGTGCAAAAGCTTGTTTGAACCTTTCTTCTTTCTTTAGCTCCTTGTCACTATCAAATTCTTTCTTCTTCGCCCACAAATTATCTAAAGCTTCTGTACAAGCTTTTTTGCCACCTTGATGTAGTGTTGCTTTGGCCTTCTTGTGGCCCATTGGTCTCGACAATGTATTCTCCTCTAGAGCAGCAACTTCATGTCCATCTGCAGTAGTGAGCGAAGGTGTAGGCAGACTCGAATTGGAGGTTTTCTTTTGCTTCTTATTAGATGACTTCCTAGCCAGTTCGTATAGTTTAGCCATCCATTTTGCTTGTCCTCTCAATTGTTTCCAGCAATCCATAAATTGAAATGATCTCTTTTGTCTGTCTTCAGACTTGTACATAGCCTTTGCGTCCTTAGTCTCCACACACACAACACCCATGTATCAGAAAGTCATTAAATTGTAATTTATGCGTCAGAGAGAATAAACATATGCTTATACATATCTAGTCAGAACCTTATCTTGCATTGTAGCACCACTTTGTCATCTACCCGCAATCCTGGAGAGACATCCTGTAAACTTATTCACACTGTTTTGTATAGTAGACCAATGGTGCATAAGAGAATTTTGCGTACGGTCTGAGGGGAAGGGCAAGTTTTCATGGAAGTAATAATGAATTCTAGTCTAATACGATTTATGTGTTTGATTTGCTCCTGTGATTGGATCCAAGCTCACATTCAGCCACGCAGAAACCAAAATCTCTTCTTCCTTCTCACTGAAATTCTTTGATCTCTTGTGATTTGGTCTTGTAGAGAAGGCTGATGGAGTCACTAGCACTTCCTGTGATTGTTGCTCATTACGAGGGTTGCTAAAGTCTTCAAAATCCACTGGATGAGTGCCTTCACTCATCATGCTGGTATAATAATTACTGTTTGCCGCCATAGATCTTATTAAAAAAAATTAAAAACACCAACCTTATATAGAGAATTAGAGATATTACTTTTACATCTACACTTAATACAACTTGGTTCACAGAATATCACACACACACACACACACATCTACACGAGGCAGGCATCAAGCAAGCAACCAGAGAGGGAGACAAAATAGGGACAGGGATAGGGACAGGGACAGACAATGATGGCGGTGGCTGAGAAGGCAGTAGTAGGACCATCGGTAGCACCAGAGAAAGCAGTAGTAGTACGAGCAGCAGCACCAGAGTAACTGCATTTAGATCTCCATTCTTAATGCAAACAATATAATCATCAGGCTAGTATATCAAAATGCCTACCCCATAATGAAACCAAAACATTGAACTACTTCCCTCCAAAATGAATAGAAACTCAGAATTTTTTTCAAGGTACTAAGCATTGGCATTTCTTCAAGTGGAGTGCACTCATGCTTTCAGAAATAATCTTCCTTTAGCACAAAATGCAATTGTACTACAGGGACACTTGCCATTGCCCTCTTAGCCAGGATGGAGAAAGCAAATAATCATGGACTGATATTAGGTATATGATAGACAACAATTGACAAGCCAGCTTCAAAAATAACAGAAACCCAAACATTATCACAACAAAAGAGGCAACTTGCAAGAAAATAAGTTAAATCATGATCACAAGTAACTGAATTGTACTATCAGATACTATATAAACTATAGTGCCACTGATATGCTGATACCCAAACACACATTCAGTTACTAAAAAGTTCAGGGTTTTCTGCAGAAACACTTGCAGAAGACATATTAGACTTATCAGAATATCACCCATTGCAAAGATAAAATTCCTAAAACACATGTTGTACATATAACAAGATAGGATCCTTAGTAACACTTGGAGCAATTAGAAGATCTTTCTGAAGCCACGTGTGCAGATTATGTTGGTATCAAGTAAACCACATTTGAGATATTTTCAGAAACAACATCGAAAATGCATGTAGTTGAACAAGTATCTGGTGCCATCAGTTATTTCAATCAGAATGGATTAGATTCTTACCACTGCAAAACATGTCAACATCATCCACATCTTCCAAGGCCTCAGAGGTGTCATTAGGGAAGGAAAACACCATTGGAGCATGGGGATCTGAAGCATCGCCGGCATATGTCGCAGGCCAAGGAAGACCGCAGCTGCCCTGATGGGATGCGCCGCAATAGCCATCACGGGCTGGACCTTGACATTGCTGTTCACTCCAGTTGTGGGTGCCATCTGTCGGATCGATGTCGTTGCAACCAAATCCCGGTAGAAATCGACTGCCTCCGGCCTAGGGGTTGTGACCACCGACCGACGGGCCACAACCCGATTTTGTATGCCACCACGCATAGCCTGCCTCGGGGCGGCGGCAGCAGGTCATGGCGACCGCATCTGAAGGTGCTCGCGGCCAAATTGCAGGATGCGCAACACCTCTCTATGCCGATGCTAGGACGGAGGGCATGAAAACTGCTAGCAAAATGGCGTGGAAGGGAGGAGGAGCGCGGGAATTCTCTACCAAAATGGGGCACGAGCGCGGGAAGAGAAGCATGGGAGAAGATTGGGGGCGCGCCGTCAATTCGCACATATGAGGGGCGCGGGCTGATTTTTTCAAAGCAAGCAAATCTTGGGGAAGGTTTGGGGGAGCTGTTGGAGCGGTGGTTTTTCTCCCAAGCACGCAAATTTCAGTTTTGGGGGTATTATTAGCCTTCTCTTGGAGTTGCTCTAAGAGACCCAAAATCGGTCTTCAACAGAGTACCTATACGGGAGACCCATTTTGGGTTGCCTGAGACGCAAAACTCAAATATGAGCATCCTCTCTCCTGAAACCCATTTGCAGAAAGGATTCTCTTTTAGGTCCTGTTGTTGGAGAAGATGCCGATTGGGTATTGAACCCTTTGCCTGTACGCTACCCAAAGGTCGAATGTGTCTTATATTGTAGGTGTTGTTGTTGGAGATAGTCTTAGGTGTAGGTGGATAACGTTGGCTGGCCCTGTTTGGCAGATGGCTGGGGCGCAGGGCTGAGGGCTCCCCTACCCAACTTTAGCTTAAGGTTCTCTTTGGTTATTTTTGTAGAGGCTTTTCGGTCAGCTTCATTATAATTTTGCAAAGTTAGAGATTTGCTATTGGTATCTCACTGACATGTGGGGTACACATGAGTCAATGACATGTGGGACATGATGGCATATCTCTAATTTAGTAAAATTATAATGGTAGTCTTCAGATTTTAAGCCCTATTCAAATGAGCACAATGACTTCTGAAACAAAAAAATAGTTAAACTGAAGTCTGTTTTGGGTTAGAAAATGAAGCCATTAGAATATGTTTTTTCCTAGCTTCTTCATATTTTGGAGAAACCCGAGCCCTAGAGGCTAAAAATTAAGCTGGCCATCCTGTCAAATCAAATGTGGAGATTCTCATGGACTTCAGGTCCTTAGGACTTCTCTGCTCTTACCTTTTTAGCTCTGCTTCACCAAAATTCATTATGGAGCAATATAGTTTAAAGTAGGTAAATATATTTGGCATGCCGCGTAGCCCCATCTCTAAAAATACGAGATTTTCTAAGAAATGTCTAATATGCTCTTGGACAATGTTTAGTTTTTGTCAATATAGTTTAAAGAAGGTAAATATATTTTAAGTGAATATATTCATTGCTCTTGGACAATGTTTAGTTTTTGGGCAATGTCTATATTTACCTACTTTAAACTATATTGCTCGTGGATTCACATGCTAGTCCACTTGCATCTCTATTAAGCAGGCTTACTTCCTCGGTCCAAAAGAACATATCTCATCGCTTTTGAAGAAATCAAAGAAGTACGAGCATTTATGATGAGTAATGAATATTTTTAGACTTATAGTAAAATACATTTTTATAATAAACATATTTAGATTTATAAATATTGATACTATTTTTATAAATCTAGTTAAACTTTAAAAGAATGATTACTTAAAAAGCAAGATGTGCATTCGAAAATATTTGATAAACAACCTCAGTCGCCGAGCTCCCTTCGAGTCAAGCCTCAACCAACCAGGAGCCGGATTCAATGGCCCTGTTAGCTTTCTCTCACAACAAATCAGTGAACAGTACTTTTAGCCATGGCTTTTCAGCGAAGCGAACAGAGTCAATGACTTCACATATCAAAGTCACATTGTAACTTTCCCTTAATCTCCATCCTCCATGTAAGATAATACTCCGTAGTTCGTAGATTGAAGCAAAAATGCCTAGCGGCAGCTCACGCTCATGAGTAAAACTGGCAACTGAGTAATATTGCTAAACAACACAAATAACTCTATACTAAGTTTTTTGGGCATTTTGTATATACATAAGTACACAACCCTAGCTTTTTGCAGTCCTATGCAGTACATTTTAGTTCACAGCATGCAATAATCTACTGCATGCAGCCACATATCTTTCATATTTAAAAAGTAATTAGAGTGTAAACTACACTTGTTTGCATACACATAAGTGTGCGCAGATGTCTTCTTGCTATTTTCTTCCACGCCTCAAATTTAGATTTCAATTTCTTAGTTTTTTTTCCTTCCACTGTCTTCTCAAAATTCATTACCATGTGAGGGTAACGAAAAAGAGATTTCTGACTGATGATGTTACTATTCAAATGAACTTGCACTTTTTTTGGGTTTCTAACTTATTTTGAACACCTATGAGGTGATAAACACCATAACTATGGACTAAATGTGTGGTTCAGTCAAAAATTGCTCCGAATTAAATTTTTGCATATGTCCATCAGACTATCAAGGCATCAAATGAGACTCGTCCAGTTGATATTTGATCCTTTTTTTTGAACCAGGAAAACAGCAGGGGAAGCCCCCACTGTTAGATTTTATTAAAACACAAAAACAAATACTGAGCCAAACAGACGGAAAACACTTTAGCTAAGCCCTAGCAAGGCCAGAACAAGAAGAAAAACAAAGAACCACTAAAGACAAGAATCAACCCAGGATAGAAAAACAGATCGATTGTTTTCAGAAATCCTATACGCTTGAAGTCGAGCTTCATCTTTGAGAGATCTTCTCCAAGAAGAGAAGGAAGGAGGTCCTCTCTTGAAAATGAGGTTATTGCGCTGCTTACAGATTTGCCATGCAGAGATAATGAACACTTCCAGGAAGAAAGGATACGGAACAACTTGTTTGGCTTGTATCATCATTTGTAGGAAATATGTCGTAAGATTCCACTGAATGCCAAGGAATTGCCAACAATGTTGGCTGAAAGAACAAGTGAAGAAGAGATGGAAGGCCATTTCTTCAACATTCATATTGCAAAGGACACAGTTGTAGTTGTTGCCTTCTAGCTTGTGCTTTTTCCTCCTAAGGATGTTCCTAGTGTTGAGTCTATCCATTAGTAGGAGCCAGGAGAAAACTCTCAGCTTATTGCAACATTTGGACTTCTAAATCCACAGGAAGGGAGCAGGGGGACACATTCTTGTATGGGAAGTTGTAAAATTTAGAAGAAGTGTATGTGCTAGTTCCCCATATGTAGTGCCATGTGTCCTTTGAATGTTCCTGCACTTGAATATTCTGCAGTAGGTCCTAGAGTTCCATGTACTCCTGGTGGGCTTGTTCTGATAGTGGTAAATGAAATAGAGCCATCACTATGTTGTTCTCTAGAAACTTAGCCACTGAAATTCGTTTATCTTTTGCATAAGAATATAATCAGGGGAATTTTTCTTGGAGAAGGTGGTTGTTCCAAACATAAGACCAGAAGAGAATCGTTGAGCCATTTCCAACTATGCAGCTTGAAATTCCGCTGAACATGTCACAAAGTTTCAGAAGATCCCTCCACCAAAAGGAACCTTTATCTATGGTTGCATGGGGTATTTGACCATTTTGATAGTGAGCATTCTAGACAAGCTTAACCCAAGGGACATCTTTCTGGTTGTAGAATTTATCTAGGTGCTTTATTAACAAAGCAGAGTTTTGGCTCCTCAAGTTGATTATTCTAAGCCCACCTTTCTTCTTCGG